ATTTAAGTCAGACTTACAAGGAGCATAAAACATAACAAGAGCGTGTTTTTTCTTTCTCAAAAAAGGTTTGAATTCTTCAAGAGTTAAATGAACAACTTCAGATTCTTCTTCAGCCCAAGCTTTTTCTGGTGGGGGTGGAGGAGGTGGTTTTTTTGGATTTTTCATAAAATCAACTAGTTCCGATTCTTCTCTCAGATTAATGTCAAATTCAAATTCTCCATTTTTAAAATATTTTAATGTTGGATAACCGTTAACATTAAATTGTTTAGCTATTTTAGTTTCTTTAGTTGCATCTAAAGCTGATAGTATTCCTTTGAAATTTTCCTTTTTCAATTTTTCAGCAGCTTTTTCATATTTGGGTTTCAAACGTTTACAATGACCACACCATGGAGCGTAAAACATCACCAAAATGCTTTCCGTTTCTTTAATAACTTCATCAAAAGTATCATCAGTTAAATGTAATACTTCACTTTCGGTATCAGACCATTGTGTTTCTGTTTGTTTTACAGGGGTTGAAGTTGGATTTTTCATAAATGATACAAGACCTTTTTTATTATTCTCGCCTTCGTAATTATACATTTTTACACCATTTCTGAAACGAAAAGTATTAAGAGTCAAAATAAAGATTTAAAATTAATGAAATTAAATTTCGACCAACAAACAAACAACTAAACATTAAACGATTAGAAAAATACTATAAAAATACTTACTCAAAGTAAATTAATGTCGGAAATCCTGTTATGTTATATTTTTTTCGAACCACAACATTTTCAGGTTTGTTCACATCAATAGCAGCTAAGATAGAATGTCCTTTAAGTTCTTCTGCTGCTGCAGCATAGTCTGGTTTAAGTTGCTTGCAAAATCCACACCATGGAGCATAAAACATAATCATAACTGGACCAAGCTCTTTTTTTAAAAATTTATTTAAACTCTAAAGCGTTAGAAACTATATTAAAGTTCAACTGATAATAAAAAAAAATTCATAGATTTGAATTTCTTGTTACTTACCGGAGGATCAGGAATATGAACTATTCCACTAGTGGAAGCATCCTCATCCCATGGTATATCTCCAGTAGGATCTCTCATAAAGTTTAACATTGATAATACTGTATATTTCCTATCATAGTTTTTGTGAAATTCGCCATCTTTGTAATGCTTAATAATAATTGGATCAGGATTAATTTTTAATTTTTTACAAAGTTTTTTTGCATCACCTGAACAATCAGCAAAAACCATACTTCCTTGGCCTTTTATATAATCAGCAGTTTCTTCAAATATTTTAACAACACTTGCATTTTGTTTCGGGGAATTTACAAACATTGTCAAAACATTATTTTTTGTCCTTAATAATTTTTTAAAATCCTTTATATCTACTATGTCACTAATAACATTTTTTTGAGAATTTTTTGCACTTAATTGACATGGAATTTCGGCTAATAAAATCTAAAAAAAAAAAAAAAAAAATTACAAAAAAATTAAATCAATCTTCAATAGTAATAAAATTATTAAAACACCGGTTGTGATACAAAAATGATTGTAAACACAAAATTTACTTTAATTAATATTTTTTAGATAACGTTTTTAACTGAACTTACCACAATAATTTGACATAACGCGTATTTAACAACTTTGTCTATAAATTTCATTTTTTTACTACATAAAAAAAAAGAATTATTATTACATAAATTCCTACCTACAAGCTGTGTGTTTAAACACTTATTGACGTAATGACAGAAAATTGACGGAAACGGATATGGCAAACTTTTTGAAACAAATTTCTTTTTTTTAAATGTATAAATAAAGTGAAAAAATTTAAAATTATTTAAAATATACTCTGAAAAATTTTTTTTTAGCCAATTATTGTTCATTCTATGAAAACATGAAAAATTTTCTACAATTTTTTTTTTTTCAAATTTATTGAAGTTTTCTTACTCAAAGTAAAAAAAAAAAAAAATACAAGGATAGGTTTGTTAAATTTAATTTTAATGCTTTGTCTATTTAAAAATTTATTACCTACATTTTTTTTATTCATTATTGCTTAATTTAATAATAATTAAATGACTTAATATGTTCATTATCTCTTCATAATATTATTATAAATAATTTAATTTATAAACTTTTTTTTTCAATAAACAATACTGATCGGAAACATAAAAAATTTTATATTTTATAATATCTAATACAAATTCAGACATTTAAGTTTAAACATACTTTAACAATATTTACAATTCTTTTTACATATTATTTAAACATATTTGTTAATATCGAATTATAACTTTTTTATAATTTAATAAAATAAAGTGATTACATTCATATTTTAAAATTTATTATGCCAGAGTATTATAAATAACTTTTATAAATAAAATAAATAAGATAATTACAATTCAATAATTGCGAATAAAAAATTTTTTATCTCAGCTTCGATTTATAAGAACGAAAAATTGTACATTTTTACAAATTTTATTAAAACAAATGGTTGAATTTAATTATGATGGTGATATATCTAAATCTAAAGTGCAAGATGATGTTGAAGAAGATGAGGATGATGTAGATTCATTAGAAACAGTGTTTATTTTACAAATAACTTTTTTCTTACATTCTAACAAACGTCTTAATAATGTCTCATATTGGAAAACACCTCTTTTTTCACCGAATGGATCACACATTTTTTGTTTATTTAAATGCATATTCTTTCTAGCGATTCCTTCATAAATATCATAAAGTTCTAGGAATGTTTTTTCCATTATATCTACCAACGATGAAGGTATTGACAAACCAGTGTCATTTTCAATCATTCCACAAACTGCTACCCTTAATGTTTCATGCTGTATAACTTCGTTATACCTCTGACTATCCCCAAAAAATTTTTCTTTTTCATAACCTGGCTCATTATGATAGGGTTTTTCAGACAATAAACTCTGAATGGATATTAAACAAGATGACAAAGTATTGGCTGGACTCCAACCTGGTCCAGGCCAGGTTCCCAATGTGCTTAAACATACTTTTCCATTTTTATATAAATTTGGATTAAACCTTACGGTACCCCCATCCGTTGTCATAAATTTAACCCACGGCGGGGATAATGGGTAACTTCCAGGAAATTTGAGTAAAAAATAAAAAAAACCTCCTTCGTACGGTGTATCAAAGGCTCCGGCAATAAGGGCATGAATGACAGTTATGTCTTTTTCATCAGCAACAACAAATATGTTCGGCGGAGGATCTTCATATAATGATTTTATCTCTCTGCAAGTAAAAATATTACCTTTTATTTAGAAATTACAAAATAACACAACATTAATTCAATTACATTTTTTAAATAATAAAATGAATCACTAAAAATCAAAAAAATAAGGTTGAAGTAGATTTTGAGAAAAATTATTTAAAAATTTAAATTGATTAAATATTATTGAATTATTAATTGAAAAAAATAAAAATAAAAAAGAAAATTACCTTCTAATACGTAATAAACTCTGAGGAGTAGGTTCATTATCCGAATGAGAAAAAGGATCCCAAAGAATATCATTATTAGTTGTAGAATGAATATTACTATGCAATGGTACCTTGCCTGCGGATTCCGCCATTACAACTAATTCCATTTTAGATAATCTTATTGGTTGATATCGACGTGATGATAAAATTTAAAAATACGATTTAAACGTTTTCATCAATATCTATTAAAAAAACAAAAAAAAATATGTAGATAAATAGATGTGTTTATTTTTTTGTTAACTTTATTATTTAAAATATTATCTTATTCAATAAAAACAATTTTATCATTTAGCTTTAAATCGGTCAATTAGTGTCTATTGTAAATCTAATTGCTTCAATATAAAATATTATTAACATATACATATACATATTTTTTTAATAAATTTATTTACTGACTTTAAAATGAGTAGATGTATTGTAGCAATAAAAAAATCAAATACTAATTATGTGGTCCCAATCTTTTCAGATTGTTTACTCGAATATTTCGGTAAAGATAGTATGTCTGCTTCGGTTAACTTTACAATAAGAAATGGAATGATTGAGTTAGAAGAAAATCAAAATGGATACGAATTAAGTGTAAGTATTTAGCTGTTAGCTTCAAAACTGTAATTTAATAATAAATAAAATAATACATAAATTATCATAATATATATTTTTACAAGCATTCTCCTGCTTGTCCCATTAAATTAAGCTCAGAATCAAATCCTTCTATCACTAATAATAATAATAATGAACAAATAAATGAAAAAATAAGTGTGGCTACCTCTGTAGTTATTGAATCATCTGATTCTCATGTTTTACTGACTAAAAGGGCACAACACATGAGAACATCTCCAAATGTATGGGTTACACCTGGAGGGCACATAGGTAATAAATAAATAATTCATTGTTTTATTTATGCTTATTAACTTTTAATTTAATTTATTTCAAAGCAATGATTTAAAGTATTATTATCCAAATAATACAATTTTGAATAATTAATGTTCCAGAAAACAATGAATCAGTTTATAGTGCAGGTATTCGAGAAGTACAAGAAGAAACTGGGCTTGACATAAGCAATGGGAAAATTTCAGTTTTAGGCCTTTGGGAAAATGTTTATCCTCTACTTTTGGGAATTGGATCTCCTAAAAACCATAACTTAGTTGTTTACACTCATGTTCTTTTAGATGAAAACCATAAAGAGTTGACAAACAAAATAAAACCAGATATAAATGAGGTAGATTCATTTTGCTGGCTTCACGGTTCAGTTATATTGCAAATGACAAAAACAAAAAGCATTTTTAAATCATTTGGAAAGCAATATTCTATTAATAATGAAAAAATTGTAGAAAAAAATGTTCAATATGACCAAATGTTTAATGCCTGGCTTTGGACCAGATCGCAACCTTATTCCGGTGTACTTTATTGCTTGAGAAAATGGTTAAAAGAAAAATATAAAGACAGGGTATCGAAATTCTGATGTTTCAAACATAATTTTTCTAATACAAATCAAATATTTTTAATATATCTTATTATTCTGTATCTATTGGACATAAATAACACTGTTTTATAAAACTTTTTGTTGAACATTGTAAAACTTTATAATAAATGTTATTTTAAAAAAACTTTTGAAAATTAAAATTTTTTACAGTTATTAATTCCAGCGTTATTTTTATTATTATTAAATTAAAAATATTATCACATAATTCACAATAGAGTATTGTCCAAACTCGAAAAAAAAAACTTCTTGTCATTTTTTTTTAAGAAACTTACAGTAGAAAGTAAAAAAGTACTGATCTAGATTAAATGATCTCAAAAAAATAAAGTTCTTACTTTTTATAATTAATAGGCTTCATATTATAACAGCTTTAAAATTGTAAAATTTATGTTTTCCAGATTGGATTTACCATCATTTTTAATTAAGTAATTACTTCCCAGAATGGCGAACAAAAATTCGATTAAATCATTTCAATGTCGTTTGATTTAAAATTAAGTCTAAATATTAAAGTTTTTGGAGTAGTTATATCAGCCACCATTATTTCAGATCCTTCTTCAAGACCTAAATCGACTAGAGATTTAGTCAAATTAGATCTTGTTACTTTTTCTATACTTTCTACGAGAGGAAGATAAAGAGTTTTGTTTTTCCCTTTGACAACTGCTGTAATTCCAGGATTTTTCATTTGATAATCAGGTTTATCGCAAAGAATTTTAATTAAATCTTTTAATTTCAATGAGGAATTTTCCAATTTAAGTATTTTAGTAATCTGAAAATAAAAATGTTGTTTTTTAATAATAATAAATTTTATGGCAAATCATTTTTAATTATAAATAGTTAATTTGAAATAGACATAAAAATAGAGTTTACCTGGCTACAACTCAAACAATCTGGTTTTCTTTCAGCTTCATATGTATATGTATAAACTCCACTCACATTGTTAAACATCATATAATTATTCAGAGGTAAGCAGCAATATGTAGCTAATTTAAAAACTTCAGTAACACAAGCAGCAGCTATTACAGCATTTGTCGATGCTACTGCAGGAATAATATTTTTAACAACTCCCTTTTATAAAAAAAAAAAAATTGTTATATTATTAAACTTTTAAAAGTTATTTAAATAAATTAAATTTATAAAATTAATAATAACATTTAGATTAAAAACATACCTGAACCAATCTATAATTAATTCCTTTAATATTAAATTGACTAGCTCTTTCACTTGCTTTTTCATAAATCCAATTAAGATGGTTGGGATCATCACCATCTAATGTTACATTCCAAGGATTTTCTTTAGGCCATTGAATTTCTTTTACATATTCAATACAATGTTCTGGAAGCCTAGGAGTATTTGCTATGGTGCACAATGGATAAGTAATCTAAAAGTTACTCCACAGATATAAGATAAATATAAAATTATTTTATGATAAGTCATAATAATCAATAATAATAATTAAAAAATACATACCTGTGGTGGAAAAAGATCCAATGTACAGTCAATACATGCATTGATTCCTGGTAAAATTACCCTAGCATTTCCTTTAAAGCCTTCTGTACCACCATCTATAAGTGGAATAGTTGAACTCTCATCAAGCTCTCCATTATCATTATACCTTAATAATGATATTAACATTCCGTTGATCCAACGTCTTGCAACAACAGAATCTAATCCACAAACAATAATATGAAATGAAGAATAAAAATTCTCATCAAAATCCTGAATTTTACCAAAATGAGGAATTACTTTACAACCAGGCACTCTTTCATTAATAAATTTAGCTGCTACCTGGGCTTTAGATAGACCAATATCTTTCACCCTAAATAAAAATTGCCTATTCAGATTGGACAATTCAATTATATCCATATCTATGACATGAATGAGTTTAAATCCCATTAAAGCTAAATTTTTTAAAAGTTCACATCCTAAGCCTCCAGCTCCAATAACTAGTATTTTGCAAGTCTCTTGCAAAAAGGCAAGATTATCTGGACTGGGTTCAAATTGTGGATGACAAAAAGGCCCAGATCTATCAAGTATTTTTTGCAAGTGAGACCACCTCCGATTTAAAGGTCCATTGGAAGCAACAGTAGCCATTTGACAATTTTTTAAAAAAAATATAAATACGGCAAAAATTAATTGCTAATTATTTAAACAAATTTTTTTTTTTACAAATCTGAAAAATTATTTAGCATTACAAAAAACACGTAACAAAAACGTTGGCACGAACAATAATATTTTACTCGTTGAAAAAATTTTTTAAAATTAGTTTAATCAATCACTTTAATTATTACTATTTAAGGCAGCACATTAATTGTAATACAAAAATTAAATAAAATAAGAATGCTATTTAAGGGCTTAAAATAGTATTCTGAAAGACTCTATCCAAAAAAAATCTTAAACAGCCCTGAAAAAAAAAAAAAAAAAAAAACATGAATGTGTTCACTTAGAGTTTTTCAGAGTTTTCCCGCAATTCTTTAAACACCATCACGTGACTTAGTGAAACTTAAAATGGCCGACAAAGATGTTGAAGAAAAGACGATTGCTGAAGACTTGGTCGTCACCAAATATAAATTAGCGGGAGAAATTGTAAACAGTAAGTAAGATTAAATAAAAACAAAACTGATCTTTAATAATACCGTCAAAAAATTTTCCAAACTTATGTACTTCAATGTAATATAACTGATATTATGCTACATACAAGCTTTTGATCGGCATTGCCATGTGGGCAAGTTCATTGGCTTGCAATACATTAATTTAGTCGTAGCAATTAAATATATCGGAGAATGTTTGACTTTTAATTAAAACGCAATTACTTAACTTTTAGTACTTTTAAAAGTACTTGATATTTTTACGTTAAAGTGTAGTTATTCAAAGTTTACAAAAAAATCTGTTTGTAAAACAAGGTCAATGATGTGTCTAAAAAGTCTAACAACTGCGTGAATATTTTATGTGGAAAATCAAAATTAACGTTTATTTTTTGCAGGAGTACTTAAACAGGTTATTGATAAATGCCAACCTAACGCATCGGTACGGCAAATATGTGAATCTGGTGACTCACTTATTTTAGAAGAAACTAACAAAGTTTTTAAAAAAGAGAAGGAGCTCAAGAAAGGAATTGCATTTCCCACTTGTATATCAGTTAACAATTGTATTTGTCATTTTTCTCCAATCCCTAATGATCCTGATGTTATATTGCAAGATGGGGATTTAGTTAAAATGTAAGTTTTTTTGAAAAACTATAAAAAAAAAAAAAAAGCTAAAAGATTATTAGTTTTATTAATTAAAATTATGTTTGCAGTGATTTGGGAGCTCACATTGATGGTTTCATTGCTGTTGTTGCTCATTCATTAATCTTAGGTGCTTCAGCTGAAAATAAAGTTGAAGGCAAAAAAGCTGATGTCATAGTTGCAGCACATTATGCATCCCAAGTTGCTCTTAGACTTCTCAAACCTGGAAATGAGGTGAAAATTTTAAAAACTTGTTTTTGTTGTTTTTTTTTTTTTTTTTTTTTTCTAAATAGAAAATACCTTTAAAAATTAGGCATTTTTATTTTTAAATTTGATTTCATATGTATTTGTTTTCAACTTAATAATAATTTTTTAGACATACATGATAACAGATGCTGTTCAAAAAGTCTGCGAGTCTTTTAAATGTAAACCTATAGAGGGAATGCTTAGCCACCAACTTAAACAGTTTACAATTGATGGTGAAAAAACCATTATTCAAAATCCCAATGAAGCTCAAAAAAAAGAGCATGAAAAATATGAATTTCAGACGCATGAAGTTTATGCGATGGATGTTTTAGTTAGTACTGGCGAAGGAATTGTAAGTAATTGACTTTTACCAAAACAATCATGTTTTATTCCTGGTCTCTAATTTTTATTGCATGTCCACAGAGTAGAGAAATGAATTCCAGAACCAGTATATACAAAAAAACAGATGAAGTTTATCAATTAAAACTTAAGGCATCTCGAATGTTCTTTAGTGAAGCTGTTAATAAATATGGTACTATGCCATTTAATATTCGAGGATTCGAAGATGAAAATAAAGCTAGAATGGGTGTTGTCGAATGTCTAAATCATAAGCTTGTAGAACCATTTCAGGTTTTATATGAAAAATCAGGTGAAAATAATAATACTTTACAAAATTTATGTTGATAATTTTTTCTATGTAATTGTATTTTAATTTAAAATAATTATGAGTTTTTAGGTGAATATGTTGCTCACTTCAAATTTACAGTGCTGTTGATGCCGAATGGAACGCATGTTATAACAGGACTGCCAATTGATTTGTCATTTTATAAAACTGAATACCAAATTACTGATCCTGACCTTCAGGTATATTTGTTTTTAACCTAAAATTTTTTTTTTGCTGTCGTGAAACATGTAATTAAAAATTAAAAAAATTTTTTTTATTTAAGGCTCTTTTGAACACTACTGCAAAACCCAAGTCTGCCAAGAAAAAAAAGAAGAAGCCTGAGAAAATTGAAAATGAGCAAGGTGCGCCAGTTAAGGTTGAGGGAAAGGTTTAATCAAAATTGCCAGTATGTCAAAGGCAGGCCGCTATCGCCATGTCATTTCAATTTTTAAAAAAAAATAAATGCCATGTCTATTTTTTCAATGAGTGAAATTTAATGAACCTGTTTTCGGTGAAAACATTTAATACAGATATCTTTTTAAGCAGGTTTTTTTTTTTTTTTTTTTTTTTTATTAGTAATCAATATTAAAGTGAACTTTAAATCAAGTTTTTTAATACTTTTAAAAGTAAATAAAACTTTTAAGGTCTACTTTAAAAAAAAATTTCTTTTATTTTATATTTGTTTAAAAATTTTTAAGTGTAAAATTGATGATTTGAATATCTCTCTCAATATTTGATTCATGATCATTCAATTTTTTTTTTTTTTTTTTGATTTAACAGTATTCTAAAAATATTGGTAAATTTTAAACTATTAACATTGGAAGAGAAAAAAAAAAGGAAAAAAAAAAAAATTAAAAACTGAGATTGGGTTTAATATTTGTTTATTTTAACTTGTATATCATTTATACTAAATTTGGCAAATTACATGTAAAGTTTATTTTAAATTAAAGGTGATGATGACATTCTAACAATATATTTTTACTATTTGAAAAAGAAATATATATATATATATTCCTTAAAACAATCTTTAACTTTTAAAATTAATTAATGAATTATTTTTAATTTAGTTTAAAACTTACCCAAAGTTTGAAATATTAATTTTTTTGTATCAAGTTCAATTTTTACTCACATACTTTGTTTGGAAAGAATAACTGAATTATTGAATAAAATTAACAGGTAGGCATTCACTCTGTTTTGAAAATAAAATTCTAAACTTTTTTTAGGACTGTTATGTCAAAGACGAATTAACGAAAGCTTAAATAAAAATTATATTATATACTTTTTGAAAATTAATAATTGTTCAAGGTACATCCTGGCTAAAAATTTTATGAATTTAGGAAAAGCCCAAATTTACATACCCTACATACTGGATTCTGAAATGATTTTCAAAATAAAATTTGTATATGTACTTAAACTATTAAGTTTTTACTTATTTCGACTATACAAAAGAAAAAACATTTTATTTACACATAAGATGTTTTAATTTTTTTCAAATTAAAAAAAAACTAAAAAAGTTTCATTGACAAAAAATAAGTCTAATTAATTTGCTAAGTTTGTATTCTGATTTTCTTTTTCATTTTTGACATCATTTATAGATTTTAATTCTTCCATTATTTTATTATATGTGTACACGGTTCCTTTTTTAGTAAGGTCCCAAGTTAAATCTGGTAATTCTGCTAAAAAAAGACATGAACTAATTACTCCTTTGTTCCATGTTGTTTTTGCTGTAGATACTAAATCACCCGCTTTGGGTAGTTCAGGAAATTGAAAAGGTATTTGTTCTAAAACAGGTTTGACATAAGGTTTAATGGTAGTTTTTAAGTCTTGATATAACTGACTAGTAATTTCGCTATCTTTCCATACACCCTTATCTATGGTTATATATACGGCAGAAGAAATAATCCCTGCTTTTAATCCAAACCTGTAAACATGGAAAAAATTAAACTAAAACTATCCATAATTATTATTTAATTTAAATTAATCACCAGTCAAATCATTTAATTAACCTAATTAATTTTGACATATTTTTAACACAGAAATCACAGTTATAGATTCCCTGTGAAAAGACTAAGGACTAAATATATTCCTTTTCGGGGCCCTAAAATAGCCCTCGAGCTTATTTGTAAATAAAATTTTAGTAGGTGTTTATTTTAGTACAGTTTCTTTTTTTTAAAATATTTAAAAAGTTATATTATTTAACAGTTAAATAACCGTGTAAAAATATCCGGCTGTTGTATTATAAAACAAAAGATAAATAAGTTAAATAATTTTTAAAATAAAAATTTAAATAGTTTTTATAAATCCTAACAAAATGAATCAAGCTCCAGCATCTTGTGTTCCTGTTCCAAAAATGTCTAAAGCTAGAAAAATCGTTGAAGAAGCTAAAGAAAGTAAAAATCCTGAATTAGATTTAACGGACAAAGCTTTAACTTCTTTTTTAGAATTACCCGGACTATGTAAGTATTTTCATATTAACATCCATGACCATTTAAGGCTGGATCATTTAAGTAGGCGTGGCCTATTTATTAATTATAATTTAATTTAAAATTGAAATTTTCAATTAAGTTTAAATTTTAAAGCATTGATTCTACTACTATTATCCACAAAATTCATTTTTCCTCTTTTAAATTATATATATTACAACGTTACCTTTCATTTTTATCATTATAAAATACATATTTGATTTCGACATACCAATGATCATGAGAAATATATATTCGAAATCTGAAGAAAATTGTGTACTTGTCACATTTTTTTTTTTTAAGACAAAGAAAATGATAATGATAAATTTTTATTTTCAGTTAACATGATAAACATTACAAGATTGACATTGAGTCATAACAAAATAAAAGGTAACTTTTTTTTAAATCAGTTAAATGTAAAGCATTACTTATTATCTCAATTGACTTAAATGTAAATGTTTTACGATAGACTAAATGGTATCAAATTTATTTTAGAGGTTCCACCTGGTTTGGCTAACCTGACAAATTTGGAGATATTAAACCTTTGCAACAATATTATTGAAGAGTTACCAACATCCCTTTCTTCTATGCCAAAACTCAGAATATTAAACTTAGCGTAAGGCTTTAATAATTTTTCCATCACAAACTTATTTATTACTTCAAAAAAAAAAAATAAAAATTCAAATTAATGTTGTATTCTGCTAAAAATAAAATTCAATTGTTTAAAATTTAATTAAATTATGAAATGCAATACTTTGTATGATAAAAAGTATCATTTTTATAAAATTGAAAATTCAATTTGTTACAATAAGATTTGCGAAAAAAAAAAAAAAAAAAAAATTTTATGTTTTAATTCTTAAAATATTTCTCCAAACTTTATAAATCTTAAAGTTCTACTCTAACAATCATGCAAATATATATTTAAATTTTTTTCAAGTTAAATTTAATTAAAGAAAAGTATTATTATTTTTAAGGATTAATAGATTGAGTAAATTACCTAGAGGATTTGGGGCTTTTCCAGTATTGGAAGTTTTAGATTTGACTTACAATAACTTAAAAGAAGATAGTTTTCTGGGAAATTTTTTTATGATGGGTTCGTACCAGTTTCCAGTATGTTAAATTAATCTCTTAAAAACATTTTTCATGGATTTTTTTTTTTAATATATTTCGTAGAAACATTGAGAGCATTATATTTGGGTGATAACGATTTGGAAACGTTTCCACCTCAAGTTCAACAGTTAAAAAATTTACAAATAGTAAGTTTATTTTTTCAATATTATTTTATATAATTGTTAAAATATTTTAATAAATAACTATATGCAATTTTGTGTTTGCAGCTAGTGCTGAGAGAAAATGATTTGATAGAAATTCCAAAAGAAATAGGAGAGTTAACTCGTCTTAGAGAATTGCACATTCAGGGAAATCGTTTGACATTATTACCTCCAGAAATTGGAAATTTGGATTTATTAAGCAATAAATCAGTGTTTAGATTGGAAAATAATCCGTGGGTTACGCCTATAGCCGATCAATTGCAAGTGGGAATCCCTCACGTTTTAGAATACATTAAAACGGAAACCTACAGATAGTAAGATATTAAAAAAAAATAAGAAGCCATTGGAAAAAAAGAACTGTACTCTAACTACTTGAAATTATTTTTTATTTCAGTTTATATAACCGTCAAAGTGCAGCCAAACCACCTCCCCCACCTGTTTATCAAGACAAAAGTAAAAAAATTTCAAGACAACGGTAGACATTTGTAAAAAATTCAAATAACCTCAAGACAATAACAACATGAAATCATGTCGAATAACGAACAAGATTACAATTGATTTTGAAAATAAAAAAAAAAAAAAAGATTTAGAAGCTACAGATCCAATGATATTAAATAATTTTTAAAATGCATGCAATTTGTAACTAATATTATCATTGTAGTTTTTTTTTAATTAATTAATTGTGCCTTTAGTTGTAATGTAATGTGATATATTAATATTAAAAAATTATTTTTTTTTTAATCGATTAAATACTAATCAACCCTAAAATGTCACTCTCTCTCTCTTTTTTTTAATAAAATTATATAATTTTTATATATTAATAAAAAATTAAAATTTAATTTATTTATTTAATAATAATTTTATTAAATGATTAACTTAAAAAAAATTGTAAGAAAATTGTCATTTTTTTTGTTAATATTTATTTATAATGATTTATGTGTTTTAATGTTTTTTTTAAAAAGTAACTTAATGTCGTCAATAAAATAATATTTTTAAATAAACTATTGTTATATTTTTATAAAATCACTGATTATTTTATCCCGTGCAAATTCATAGTAAAAATTCTGATTATAGTAAAGAATTAATTACGGTAATAAAAAAAAATTTGTACGTTTACTTACTACTTATTACTATGTTGTATACTAAAAATACAAGTGGTGATATATGATGAGTTGAAAAACTTCAGTCTCGAAGAATATATTTTTTTTTTTTTCAAAAATTTTCATAATTTTCTTCAGAATCTGAATCATCTGTTAAGAGAATTGGTGGCGTACGTGATTTTGATTCGTATGCCAAAATTTCATCATCTTCCAAATGAGAATTTCCTTCTATAAATTCTGCAAATCTAAAAATATCAAAACAATTAAAAACATTAATATGAATTAATATATATCGATATAAATAAAAACTACTATTAAACATTTAAAAAATTGACAACTGAATCTATCCAAAAGAAATTTTATTATTACCTGAGTGGTTTTTGTAATTTTGACACAGTTTTCCACTGATTACATTTCGGACTTGAGCAATATTTTCTCAGTTCTTCTAAACCTTTTTGTGTTTCTCTGGCTCCCTGCTCATAATATTCTTCTTCAGTCAGATAAGTTTTAGTCGGGGGAAAAAGTTTACTCCTAAAATGAAAAAAATAGTTCAGTTAAGAAAAAAAAAACTGTTCAGTTATGATTTACAATCATTCACTCAGTAATTACCAATGTGAAAATTTAAAATCAACCCATTTTTTTGAAAAGTTATAATAAAGAAGTAAAACTATTTCAGCTATTAACGATGCCTCTCGACATCTGCTACTGTAAAAAACTAAAAGTAAGGCAAATCCCTAAAAAAATTTATCAAGTACAAAAATTATTTTTTTTTTTTTTAACAGTGAATAAAAATTAAACTATAACATAATCAAAATAAAACAATTAACCTGCAACGCCCATTTTATTAAATTTTTGCTTCTCGGATCAGTAACCGGACCAAATCGATAGCATACAATAAAACTTAATAAACCTGTTATGAAAACATATCCCAATGCATATGAATAATAACTTATGAGTATTAATTTAAGGTTTTCCCATAGCAATTGTAATAAATAAACTCCAACAGCCCATCCGCTAATAAAAACAGCATACAATGTGGGTTTCTGAAAAAAAAAAAAAAAAAAATACTTAATTATGTTAAATGAATTCAAATTTTATATTGTTTATAAATTTTTTAAATAATCTTCACCTTTGAAATTAATTTACTCATGAAATAAAAAGCTATTAACACAGAGGATGTAATTCCTAATGTTATTCCACAAATATAATAAAATATAGGATTCGAACTTAAACTTGGTGCTGTCAAAAATAAAAATATGCCTAATCCAAAATAAACCAATCTCCAAAAATCGATACCTGATAATAATAAAAAATTTTTATCAGTAATAAATAAAAAAATAAATAACAAACCATTATATGCATTAATTACATACGAATAACATTTATTTCTACCACATGGTCATAAATTGTATCAATTCCTATACAATTTAAATTAAAAGGATCCACATCAATTTTTTGAGATTTCCAAGAAAATAATTTATTAGTCCATGAACTTTTTTCATGTTCATATAAGTCTTTTACCTCCTTTGGTGATGAACCTTTGTAAAGATCATATTCATTTGAGTTTAAACTAACTGTGATCTGGAAATAATAAAAATTACCCTTTGATACTTTACTGTAACATTAAAAAAAGTTTTTTTTATAAACGATTAACAAAATTAAAGGAGATAAATAATGACCTTGAAAAACTTACATAAGTTGTTTGCCACATATGTATTAAATGCTTGTCCATACCTCTGTAGCAATACATACATAAATTTTTTTGACTTTCTAATGAAACATTAACTGGTCTTCCTGGCACTAAGTATTTAATTTCTGAAATAATTTTTACCAAAATTATAAATTTTTGCATCTGTTATGTATGTTAATTAATAACATTTTTAATTCTAAAAATTATTTCTTTCATCTCATTTCATTCATTTTTTTTTTTTTTTTTAAGAAGATTATATTTTACAAAACTAAGGTTATAAAAAAATTTAATAGTAACGATTCATTATTAATAACTAATGGTTAAAATGTTACAGCATTTAAAAGTCCTTCTTACCTCGTTCATATTTTCCGAAAGCGTGATTATTCGATACAATTATAAATCCTACAAATATCAATAATTTGAAATCCATTTTAACTATAAATAATTTTTTAAATTTAAATTCAATTAAACGCCTAAAAGTTAAAAAATATTAAGAAAAAAGCATTTTAAAAAAATGATTGTTTATCTACCATAAAAGTGCATTTAAAGCGCGGAGCATTGTCTGCAGACACGACAAAAAAACTTTTTTATTCATAAACGGTCTTTTACATATAATTTTTTTTTTTTTTTTTTTTTTTGGTAAAAAATTAAATTTTTTGTTTGGTGTATTACAAAATAAAGATTTTAAAATTTTTTTGCTACTTGGAAAAATAACAAACTCATTATCGTTTTAAAAATATTACCTTCGTAGTAAGTAATATTTACACTTATTTTAATGTATATCATTTCCCATGAAATACTTTCTAGTATTTCGATCACATAATTTGATCAAATAATTTAATAAATGAGTTATTGATTTATGATTCAATAATATCATTTCAACTCAAATAATGTACTTAATGTATATTACAATTAATGTGGAAAACAAAAAGCATTATTAAGTTACAAAAAAAAAAAAATACAGTATGAATAATAACATTATTAAAAAATTAAACTCTTTCATATTAATTATAAATAAAAAAGTAGGCTTCTTTTTTTTTTTTTTTTCTTTTTTTTTTTGTTAAATTTTTATTATGCTGTGAATATGTTTTGATGTAAAAATGTCTGTGGTTTATTTTAATATTAACAAAACAATATCGGTCGGTATATATATATAAATGAACGATATTAAAAATTATTGTATTTTTATATGTAGTTTAGATGCATTTTACTCAATACCTATTTCAAATCATTTAGTTTTTAATAATTAAAATCAATTTATCACAAAAATAAATTAACATTTATTCATTTGTTTAAGTTTTAATCTAAAGTTAATGGCACCAAAAAAAAAAAAAAAATTTCTAAATCCTGTAATTAACACATAAAGAAATTTAAAACTTTACAATGTTATATAACAACACAACAACAGAAAAAAAAAATTTTAAAGTGAAATGATTATTATAAAAAACAAATTTAATTTTTGAAAATAAATTTTAAAAAAAAATTTTTTATAATAATAATAATAATAATTAACCGCTTTTGTTTTTCTCTCTCTTTATTATAAGATTGTAAATGACCGATGATTTTTTTATTTTATTTACGTCACGATGTCGTGGTTGTAAAATTTAAACTCTAATTATAAACACGATCTAAAAAACTTGAATTTTTATTGTAGTTTCACGGAAACTCAACAACTAACGGTTTCGAATATCCAACTTCTTCACCACACTCGAACAAAATGAAGGAATTTAACAGTTATCATTTATTTTTCCTTATTATTATTTATTGTTCCACATTAATGGAAAATTCTAAATCTGGTAAGTTTAATTATTATTATTATTATTATAAAAATAATTAATTACTTTTTCTTAAATATATATATTTAAAATTTAAAAATTTTAATTTGCTGAAAATGTGTGCTTTTTTTTTTGGAGTCAGTAACGATTCGAATGATTCAAAAAAAAAAAAAAAAAAAAAAAAAAAATTGTTTTTATTATTATACTTAAAAGTTGTTTATTATTATTTATATAAATAATAATAATAATAATCAGTAAATTAAATTATTTAATTTTATCATCATCATCACTATTATTATTATAATTTGTAAAATAAATAAAAAATAATAATATATGATATGATATGATATGGTAATATGACCTGTAACATGTATAAAATTTCTATTGTAGATTTTTACATTAAATTTAATAAATTTTATTTATTTATTTATTTATTTATTATATTATTTTAATAATAAGTATTAGCAAAAAATTAAAATATCTACAAAAATACCCAAAAAAATAATTTTTAATTTTTTTTTTTTTTTTTTTTAGAATGAATTTTTCATTATTATTATTATTTGTTTAAAAATTTAACTGGATCAAAATAATAAAAATAAAATTTTTTTTAACGTGGGCCAAAAATTGAAAATCGTAATAAAAAAATCATCATCATCATCATCATCATTTATCAATTACTTTATTAAAATTTTTTATTTTATTTATTGATGATAATATCTTATGTAAATTATTATTTTTCTTTGTTTTTATGTATAGATAAGATAACGTGATTTTTTGTTAACTAATCATTTGCGATTAGTTTAAAGTGCTCTTAAAAATTTGAAATAAATAAATAATTATAAAATTTCAGAACGAACTTTTGAAATTAACCACGATGAAAATTCATTTTACATGGATGGAAAACCTTTTCAATATGTATCAGGTTCTGCACATTATTTTAGAATGCCAAATCAATATTGGAGAGATAGGTTGAGAAAAATCAAAGCAGCAGGTTTAAATGCTGTTTCAACCTATGTGGAATGGAGTCAACACGAAAGGGTTCCAGGTATTTTTAAAAATAAAATCATATTAAATTTATATGTAAAAATAATAATAATACTCAATCATTTTTCAGGTGTTTATGATTTTGAGGGTGATTTGGATGTTAAAAGGTTTGTTGAAATGGCACAAGAAGAAGGTCTCTTCGTTATTCTAAGGCCAGGACCTTATATTTGCGCCGAAAGAGATATGGGAGGTTTACCATATTGGTTAATGACAAAACATCCCGATATACAATTACGATCGAGTGATTTTTTCTACACTTACTACGTACAAAGATGGATGGATAAATTACTTGGAAAATTTACCGATTTGTGGTACGGTAAAGGAGGTCCAATTATTTTAGTACAGGTTGAAAACGAATATGGAAGTTATCACAGTTGCGATTACAATCATACTTATTGGTTAAGAAATTTATTTGAAAAACATGTTGATTATAATGCCGTCCTTTTCACAACGGACGGTGCTTCTAGAAATTTTTTAAAATGCGGTAAAATTCCAGGTGAATTGAAAAACGTTAATATTAATTTAATTTAATTCGAAAATTTCGATAATTAATTAAAATATACCTTTGTTATACATTTAGGAGTGTATGCCACGGTGGATTTCGGTCCTAATTCAAACGTTAGTAAAATGTTTGAAGCGCAAAGAGAATTTGAACCCTCGGGACCCTTGGTAAATTCCGAATATTATCCAGGATGGTTGACTCATTGGGGTGAAAAAAAACATGCGAGACAGGATACGAAAGACGTCGTTAAAACTTTGAGGGAAATGTTAAACGAAAAAGCAAATGTTAATTTTTACATGTTTTACGGTGGGAGTAATTTTGGTTTCACCGCTGGAGCCAATCAATTCGGATCGATTTATCAATCGGATATAACGAGTTACGATTATGATGCTCCGATAAGCGAAGCTGGAGATTTAACGGATAAATATTATGCGATAAAAAACGTTTTGGAAGAATATTTTAATTTAACATCAAATATAACAGTAGAAACTCATGATAAAGGTTAATTAATATTAATTATAAATATGGCGAAATAATTTTTATTAAATAATTTTTTTTTTTTTTTTTATTTTAGGTGATTATGGAGAAATAACGTTGAAAAAAACGGCAACAATGTTCGCACGTAAAATAAGAGAAAAAATGGGTAAATTTCACGTTGAACATAGACCGTTATCGTTTGAAGCTTTGGAACAAAATTTCGGTTATGTTTTATACGAAACGACCATACCTTCCAGTTTTGTTAAAGGACAAAATTCTAAATTGGAAATAAAAAAAATTCGTGATTTGGCACACGTTTATTTAAACGGAGAATTTGTGGGTGGTATGAGTAGGGAAGAACGTAAAACAAAATTAAATTTAACCGTCGAAAATGGTAATTTGGGAATTTTGGTAGAAAATTTAGGAAGAATTAATTTCGGATCGAATATAAACGATCAAAAAGGTATACTATCCAAAGTGACGTTAGATGATACCGCATTATTTTTTTGGAACATGACAGGATACGAATTAAATGATGTAAAAACGATTGAAAAATGTTTCGAAGAAAACGACGACGATTGCATGAATGACGAAGGTTTTGTTTTTTACGCACAAAAATTTAAACTACCAAAAGAATCGTATGAAAATGATGAAAAATTACTCGATTCTTATTTAGACGTGTCTCATTTAACAAAAGGTTTAGTTTTTATAAATGATTTTAATTTAGGTAGATATTGGTCTACGAGAGGTCCACAATATACTATTTACGTCCCTGGTGTTTATTTAAAACCCTATCCTCAAGAAAATTTTATTGTTATTTTAGATGAAGAAATCGTTACTGATAATATAAAAGTTAATTTTACCATAAATCCGATATTCAGTTAAATATTTCAATAATAATAATAATAATTATCCTTATTTACGTATTCGCACCTCAAATATATATATATATATTAAAAATGTTTTTTTTATTATCACAAAATTAAAGCACGATTATTATAATTAAAAATTAAATAATAAATAAATAAATAATGTAATATTATTATTAACAATAAATGATTAATTATACCTGGCAAAGGTTTTTTAATATTTTTTTTTTTTGTAAAACCCAACAAATGAAATTAATTATTAACTTTTACCTCTCCCTCCCTTCCTCCCCCCTAAAAAAAAAAAAGCGCAAATATTTTTTTATTTAAATATTCTATTATTATTATTATTAATACTTTTAAAATTAAATTAATAAAAAACATTTTTTGGCATGATTTTCCTTGTTAATGTAAAGCTTTTTAAAAAAAAAGAAAAAATAATCTTAATATGGTAAATAAATAATACGACGACGTATTATTTTAACGATAAGCGAAATTCGATATTTAAATAAAATTTTTAATGATTTTTAAGCGTTTTTTCCGCCCCACCCCACTCCCGCCCCCCAACCCATTCCTCACTTATATGACAACCGTTGAAATTTTTTCTTGTATCGCTCGAAGTGAATTCAAATTGACAATGAGGGGAACATTTTTAAATTCATCGTTACGAGATGGAAGACTCAGTTCTCCTATCGTTAAAGGTTTTGTTTCCTTTAATGCGTTTTTAACTTCCGGCGTCGGGAAAACCGTCAGAGATGTTTCGATGTAACCTCCTTTTATTATTTTAAGTATTTGCTTATTAACTCTCACCTTAAAAGTAAATAAAAAAAAGTTATTTTCAGCTACAAGTTGCTCAGTTATGATATGAGATAATAATAATATTCAAATAATCACCGAAAAATTTTCTATTTTATTTTGAATTTCCCTTTTACGATTAAATTGTTTTGAAAAAAATGTTTTCGCATCCATCGTGTCCCCAGGTTTTAAACTCGTGAAATCCGGAATGTCGAAAATTAAATTATCGAGAACTTGTTTTTGTAAATCTTGTCCTTCTTTCCACAATTCATTAAGTACTTTTTTTGAATTTTTATCCATGGAATTCTATAATTGCCAACAAAATAAAAAATTACCAAAAAATTACCAAAATCATAATTTTATAAATAAAAATTTAAATAGTTAACCTCGGACGATGAAACCGGTGATAAATTAATTATATTTTTTCTCGCCGTTTCATTTTGTAATTTAAAATATTCCATGTTCATGTGTTTCAATGACATTTTTAATTGATCTATTTGATTTTGTAAATTTTCTCCTTCGTTTACGGTCCAAGAGATTTTTTTCGGGCTGGTCGATTGATTGCTCGCGGTAGACGTTTCTGCAAAAAAAAAAAGTCATAAAAATATTATATTTATTTACCTTATGAAAATCGAATTCTTCCTCCGGAAATGTTTTTTTTTTGTTAATTTTCACCTATTTTCACGGGAGCATCCCCGCCGACTTTTTTCGTTTGCATTTTTAACTTTTCCCTAAGTTTATCACGTTCTTTTTCCAATTCTTCAATGTCCGACGACAAGTGATCCATTGCAACTTCGAATTCCTTTTCTTTTTTCATCGCTTGTTTTTTCACTTCTTCTAATTCGGCCTTTAAAAAAAATTTAATTAATCTATAAACTTTAATAATCCTTTTAACTTTTTTTCGTTAAAATCTCAGAGAAACGTATAACGCATCAAGTCCCTCCCCTGGCCGGTAGGAGAGAAAACGTGAGACTCGGGCGAAGCCACTCCCCAACTGAAACTCCACCGCCCACTTTCCCGGAGGGGGAGGAGCGATCGAGTGAGTTTAACCGAACCTCCGGCCCCTTTTTTAAATTCTTTTCTTTTAAATGATTGATTAAAAATTACCCTTAATTTAACAGATTCGCTATCCCGGTCTTTATTTATATTCGATAATTTCTTTTCAACTAAATCTTTTCTAATGCACATTTCGCTCAACTCTTCCTGTTTAGTTTTTAACGCCATTTTTAATTCTCTAATATCCATTTCTTTACTCTCCAACTTCTTCGATAAAATCTATAATTGAAAAAAAAATTCATTTAATGGCATTTTTCACGGGACGTAATAATTACTACATAAAAATATCTTACTTTAATTTCATCCAGTTCTTTTTTAACCGCCGTGGCTCTCGTTACGATGGGTTTTTCCGAAGCGTTAGAACCAGATGAGCTAATGAGATCATAATCCGTTTGTTCAACTAGATCGTTAAACCCTGCTACAATTTTTACAATATCGCTAATTTTTTTTTTTGCCAACTCGACTCCGGTCAATTCATCAGACTCGAGATTTTTTTCTATAGACGATTGAAATATTTCTTCCAATTTTGTATTATTGATTCCCGATGCCGATTCTGAAAAAATTTTCGTTAATTTTTTTTTTTTATTCGGATGAACAAAATTTTAGTCTTACCTCCTTGAAGTAAAATGTACTGTCTGGATGCTTTTGACATGTCGTAAACGGCCTTTACAAGTCTCGTCGCGCCTTGAGTTGTGCTTATTAATTTTAATAAACTGTTGTTGGGTATATTGAGATTAGATTCGTTACTCGGTATTTTCCTCCTGATGTTTTTTAATTGTGCTAAACAATGTTCCACGCTCGCAGCAATAAATTGAACGATTAGAATAACTTCTCCGCTTGGCTCATTATCCTAAAACATAATCGTCTTAGGGGTTAAATAATAATAAAGGGGTTTAATAATAATTATTATTATAAAATGAGTAGTTTATTAAATAAAAAAAAAACGAATTTTACCGAGTACATGGCTTGAATTGATAAACAATCCGTTAATAATGATTCGCAAGCCGCACTCAAAGCTGAAGCGGAATCTTTAACGCAATGAGATTGATGAATTTTATCATTTTCATTTGCGAAAACTATTCCTTTCATTGCATCGAAATATAAAATAAATTTTTCCAAAGGCTCCGTCAATACGTTTTCATCCAATTGATCTTTTTTCACGGATTCAATGTACGAATCTATTATTTTTTCCTGCACGAGCATTTCCATAAATTTTCCCGCCGCTTTACTCAACGTTTCGATTGTGCACGTGTCGAGACCGTGAATAAACTGATGAAATACCAACTGGACAAAAAAAATTCACATTGACTTTATTTTTTTTTTTTTTTTTAAATTTAAAATTTCCTTAATAAGTTTATGATTACCTGACACCTGTGAAGAAAATAACTTAAACGACATCTACAAGCATATTGAACAACTTTATCTTCTTTTATTACCGAATCTTTATGAATATTTTCTACTTTTTGAAATTTACAATTTATTTGATTTAAAATTATCTCGCATTTACACAACATTCGTGGAAACAAAAGTATTAATAGTATAGCGTCATGATCTCCTGAAATTTTTTTTTTCGAATTAAAAAGCAATCCTGGAATTATAATTTTTTTTTTTTTTTGAATTTGTAAATAAATAGCAGTACCTCCTCGGCCTAAAAAGCTATCCGGCATAAATGCCGTTAGATATTGCACGTGTTTATCTTTTTGATTGAGTTCTATTTGTCTTAATTCCAAGTCCACGGCTCTTTTGTGTGCCTTAGTTTCGGTAAAAACTTTTTGAAAGTCTAACATTTCTGGAATACCGACGGGTTTCTTCGCCTCTTCGTCTAATTTTCCCTGTAAATCTTGAAGCTGTTCTTGAAGTTTAGCGACCAATTCTCGAAACTTTTGAATTGTGTGTTGACAATCGTTTAAGTTTTCCAACGCGGCATCTTTTTCTCGTTGAGTCTGTATTAGGGGAAAAAAAATTTAAAACAATATGAAAATATATAAATTTGAGAGGAAATTTTTCAAAAAAAAAATTATTACCTCTCGAACTGAATTCAAAGCCATATCTAATTCTTCTCTCAGTTCTAAATCGATTTCTTTTTGTGCTTCCAATAACTGATCATTTGCATCTTTTAAAGCTTCCAAATCTGAGATCTCTTCTTGAAGTTCTGATACTTTTTCCTGCAGGGTCATTTTATCGTTTCCAAGCGTTTCGACGAGTTCTTCCGCTCCCAAAGCTGCATCAACCTAAAAATAGTTTTAAGTTGGGTAACGAAACCTTAATAAGGAAGAAATTTGAAAAGTTTAATTGAAAAATAGGAGTGTCATCTTTCTTACCTGCTCTTGTAAATCTGCAATTTGTTCTTCTAAAGTTTCAACTAAAGAACTCAGCTTTTCTTTTGTCCTACTTAATTCTGCAACTTCAGATTTTTTCTGATCCAAGTCTTTTTGTAATTTTTGGTACTCGTGCTTGTCGTGAGCGACCAGGTCTCGCATTCTGAAAAATGAAAGTAATTTTATTACTGTTACCGAATAAAAATATAAATTAAAAAATTTTTTGTTTACTAAATTATTTTTACTTATGTTCCAACTATGTAAGAAACTCACTTGACAAGTGTTTCTCTTAATCTTGCATTTTGTTGTTCTAATTGCTTGAATTCATAAGGAGTTCTTTCTTTCAAACCATTTTCATCGGTACCTCCTCCTCCCTCAAGTTCTGCTTTAAGTGTTTCATAATCTAAGGTAACTTCTTCTAGCTTGTCACGAACCTCTTGTAATTCTAATTGCAAGCTTTCAACCTAAAAAATAAATTTTATGAATTCTGTGTCCACAATAATGCGTATTGTTTGAAAAAATAAAATAAAGACACCTTTTCTTCTGCCATTTCTTTGTCTAAAGTTGCCATTTCGACTGTTTCTGCCAAATCCGACATTTCTTCTGCATGTAAATTTTTGGCTTCAATTGCATCCCTTGCTTCTTTTTTTGCCATTTGTAATTCTCGTTGTAAAGCAGCCTGAGATTCCATTATTTTGGATTTAAATTCTATCATCTGTTCCAGTTGAATTCTTATTTTATCAAAATCTTTTAATTTTTCCTTATCTTGAACTCTTTTAACTGTTAAAACAAAATGAATTTTTAAGAAGAATTTATATTTTAAAAATGTAAAAAAATCAGTAAATTTTTAATACATTATACCTTTTAAAGTTTCATATTTTTCAGTTACATCTTTTAATTGTTCTTTTAACGTTTCCACTTGCTGTTGAAGAAAATTGATATTTGCCGCACCGCTTAGATTAGTATTAGGTTGAGGTGCATTTCCTAATGGGCCAGGTTGACCTGGAGAGAGCATAACCGAACCAGGAGTAAATTTAGGCTTTAAAGTTTCCACAAAACCAGTCTAAAACGCAAACATGTTTTAGCAGTTAACATTTTTTTGAATCCAAATTTAATTTTTAAAGTTTTAGATGAAAATTAATGGAAGAGCTAGAAAAATTAATTTAATAGCATTTGCCTTCCTAAAAAATTAATTAATTAATTAATTTAAATATGCCAAAAAAATACATCATGCCCCAAAACCATTTAAGTTACAAAGTTTATTTATCATTATACAGCAAGTTGAGTTTTATGGATAATAAAAAATATAAATGAAAATTGTTATGAAAAGTTAATTATTTCACCACATGTATAAAAGAAAGGATCTTTAAAAGAAATTTAAAAAATTAAATTTACTGCACAGTTATGAGAAAAATAATTTTATAAAATAAACTTTGCAGTTACTTGTTCGTTGGCATCACTGACATCATCTTTAGATTGATTCAGAGATCTTTTAGCAGTAGTTTGTTTTTGAGCTGTGGAAACTTTTGGTGTTTTACTTGCTGAAGAAGGAATATGCTTGGGCAGTTTGGAAGTAGGGGTTCTCTGAAAAAAGAGGTGTTCCATCTTCAATTTAATTACCTTTTATTTTCAATTAACTTTGACTGTGTAAATACTACGATTCAGTTTCTTCAATTTCGTATATATTCTTCTTAATCAATTTAATTTTCTTTATAAATATAAATTAAGTTTGTAATCGACTACAATTGCACAAAAAATAAAATTCTTAAAAAGCAACAAATGTAATTTTTAAAACATCAGCCAATTTTACAAACAATAAATAAAAAAAACTTTACATGCACATAAATACATTGATAAAATTTTACCTCGACAAATGAAGAAGTTTTTTTAGAAGATGCACTTTGTGAAGCAAGGGAATGAGTTGAAGCAGTTAAATCTTCTCTACTTGGAGAGCTAGTTACACTAGACAATGATAATCTAGAACTGCAAATAATACAATGAGTTAAATTTTAAAACAGGTAATAATTACTTTTTTACAAAATTACATTAAAAACTTTTTTTGTAACTAACGATAAATTTACCTTGATTTTTCAGGTTTTATAATTGTTTGGGGTTGTTTCCTATTTAAGCAGCATTAACATAAATACAATTTTTGATTTTTTTAAAAATTGAAAAAAAATTTTCAAGTTTATAATACATTAAATTTATTCTAGTTCAAAATAAAAAGTTAATTGTGACTTAAAACGAATAAAATTTTATCTCTAATGTATTAAAAAATATTCAAATTACTTTCGAGTATCTCAAAAAAAAAAAATTTGGAAATATTTTCAATGAAAATTTACCTTTTCCAAAAAAAATGAGTAAGATAATTTTTACCTGCTTAATTTTGTTGTTTTCGATTTTGATGATGCTTCTTCTGTTAAGTCCAAAACTGGACTGTCATTTTCATCTAGAACAATTAATTGATTTTGCCTGACAAACATACCATGATTCTCTTGACACTAAAATTGTTATTAAAAAAAACTTGTATTAATTTTATTACTTGACATTTTTATTATTTATGATAATAATAATAATAATAAATTTTAGTTTAAAAAAAGACAAATAAACTTTTTAAAATTTACATTTACAGAGGTAAAAAAAAAATATTGTGGTTTACATTTATCACCAAGTATTAGTACAATTACATTAATTTCAAAATAATTTAGGTACAATGAATTGTCTAGTATAATAATTATTACTAAATTATGATACCTTGAAATATTGTCTGTCTTTAACTGTTCCATTATTTTTCCCTTTTGGTTCATCTAAGCATATTCCAACCCACTTCCCTTGTGCAAAAGCTGTAGTTCCAATATATTCAACCGTTCCTTTAACAGATTTTGCGGGTACGTTTACCCTACATCCTACTTTTAATACAGAATCACTCATTTTTTACTGTAAACATTAAAGTAATGAATTATTATATTTTATAACGTATTATGGAAAATTAAAACTAACAACCATTACTAAAAAATTATTACTTGTACGTGTCATTAGAATTAATAATAGTTCAGTAAGGTAAGTACAGTTACAAATTATTTATTAAATAAACATTTTAAAATATTTTAATATTATTAACACTAATTTTTCAAAATTCTTTTGAAAAAATAATAATATAACTGTCTAAAAATATTTTTTAAAAGTCTTTTTATAAAGAACCGTTTTCAAAACGTCAAAAAAAATAACTCTATGGCTAAGTTACTGCTTAGTTAATATATGAAATTTTATGTATGTCTATGCTTAGATGATAACAAAGTGTAAATATTTTGGTTTGATTCAATCAAGTGTTTCCAGATGAAGTTACATTTTCTTTGTGTTTGTTAATATGAATGTGCCTTCAAAAATTAAGGTATGAAAATATTTAAGTATTTAAACGTAATTTAATAATTTATTAATTGAATTATTTTTTTCTATTTTCAATTTTTTTTTCTTTAAGAATCCAAAAAAGAATAAGGAAAAAATTTTATTATCAATAGAAGAAGGTATTCCTGAACCTCCTAAGTTATGTGACTTTGAAACTAAATGTCAAGTTGAATCAAAAATTGAAGAAACAAATACAAATTTATGTACTCCTGATTTAGTAAATAAAAATGAAAATGTATTTGTGCAGAGTGAAAAAGAAACAAGTAAAAAAGAAAATATTTCTGAATATGTTGAATCTGGTTCTCTAAAAGCTTGCCAAACCACAGTTTTACATAATGATAGAAATATTTCATGTTCTTCAGATGACACTACCAAAAATTTTAAAATTTTAAAAGATGCTTGCCATTACCCTAGTTTATCTGAAGCACTAATTGAAAATATTAAAAATATTACTGAAGCTTCAGCACCTTCAGGTAAATTTAAATGTTTTATAAATGCTTAAAATTAAAAAATTTTTTTTTTAAATTAAGCATTATCAATAAATTAAATGAATTATCTAAAGTTAACAAAATATTTGTCATTGCTTTTAGATGAAGTACAGTTACTGCAGAATCAATTAAAAAAAAATGTTTGTTCTGATAGTGATTGGATTGGAAATGTTGATCTACATAAATATCATTTCACATTAAAAATTCAAGAATTAATTTTACCTTTTTCCGATGAACAATTAAAAAATTATTATTACAATGAAGAATTAGAAAAAAGTAATAGATACATGGAAAACCTGATATTTTTAGAAACAAAAAATCAATCATTCAAAGAAGAAGATGATTATTTTTTTAAACTATTGGTGAGTTGGAATATTTATGCATACTAAAAAATAATTTCGACTATATTATAACATATATATGATACATTAAAAATTTTGTTTATTTTATTGCTACTAATATTAAGTCTGAATAAAATTTCAGTTTTTCTTGCTTTTTAGAAAAATTATGCTCAAACAAGATACAATTTAAAAAAAGTTCAAGAAAATGTAGAAAAAATTAAAAAAAAAATTGATACATCAATTTCTACCATGTGGACTCTTCAAGATGATGTTAAAATCACTGAGAAAAAATGTTGTGATGATGGAAATTTAGTTTCTTTCGAACAAAAATATTTTAAAGCACAGTTTAATTCTAATGCTTATGACGAATTTAATCATTTATTGAAGGAATATAAGTATTTAGCATTTGAGGTACTCTTGCATAAAAAATAAAAAAATAATTTATTAATTATTTTAATTCAATTTATTTTACTCGTCTTCTTCTAGATTGTTTTAGAAGACTTATTTGCGAGTTCATTTTTAAAATTTAAAATTGAGTATTACTTGCAAAGTTTGATAACATCTTGTTCAGAGTTTTCAAATATTAATGATAGCTCTCCTGTAACCCTTTATAAAAATGATCAAAATACTTTTTTTCAAAAATGTTTAAATGAAATGAAAAAAACCATTAGTAAGTGAATTATACCACTTTAATTTTATTTATAATTTTAACAATGTTTGCTAGCAAACGATATTTTTTCGATTTTTTTCCATTTTAGGTACATTATTTTTTTTTCAAAAAAAACAAGAATTTAATGTCGATGTTTGCTTCGTGGAAGAAATTAGGGAATGGATTTCAGATTTAGTTTCCATTTTAATCAGGATTAGTAATTGGGAAGATCATCTTTTTATAATAAGTCATATTATGAGTTGTTGTGGTGGTGTAGGAGATTGGGCAGCTCATTTCATTCAATTACCACACTCAAATTTTTTTGAAGATCCTTTCGATAATTTTCAAATCAATCATATAATGACAGTAATGAATATTATATTAAATCCCATTCATAATAAAAGAAATCTATGCACGGAGGAAACGGAAATAACTGATTTGTGGACGGTAGTGGATTCCGATGGAGAAATAGAGGATGAATCAGAGGGAAAATTACTTTTAAAAGAAAATGATCTCGTTTCTATTTTAAATCAAATTCCCTTCAGTGAATTATTTAAAATTATTTTTGGAAATATGAAGAATGGAGCCAACGATTTTATTTCGTCTGATCACATTTTAAAATTAATAGCATTTTCAACGGATTTTATTAGGATTTTGTTTAAAGGTTTAAAATTTTACTGTCGTCAAAAATATAAACAGTTTACAAAGCGACTGGGTCGATTAATATGTCACACCGTGTGTTACGTTACGGAAGTTTTTGTTTTATTTAAATCACAAAAAAATTTAGAAGAAATTGAATTTGGCAGAGCTCAAGCAGAATATGACAATTTTTTTTTTCGTTCAGCAAAATTTATTTATTCGACGAAAAAACTTGGAACGTGGCAATTTCTCGTTTCAATGCCGTTTCAAATGGTGTCGTTACCAACAATAATGAAACTCTATTCGATATTTCAATTAAACGAACTTCAAGATGAATATACTTTAAATATTAATTTTTCTAATTTCGAAGAAAAGTTTTTGCTCCTTCCGGAAGAAGAACAATGCTACATACTCGCGACTTTTGCAAACATGGCGGTTGCACGAAATATATCAGAAATAGAATTTATCAAAAATGTCGTCCTTCAACTATTTTACATCGGATTCGTTAGTGTTAACACAATCGACTTTTGTTACAAAAATGTTCAGCATTTATTAAAAACTATTTGTTTAACTCATCCACAATTAATATCGGAAATACTGAAAATGCAGTGTAACGTATTTTCTACTAATCCTTTATATAACGAACGTCGAATATTACATTTATGGTTAAATTTACCATTGGAATACTGGATGCCTAACAATTTTGATTTTGAAATTTTAAGTCTTTGGATCATGGAGCCATCTCAGAGTTTAAAATATGAAATAGTGAGAATTATTTTACAATCTCTTAATTATGGTATCGATCAAGGGAAATTGTTTATGGCGCCAGAAAGTCATCGCGAAATAGCTTTTATTTTAATGCAAGCCAGTATAAAATTAGTAAATGAAAATGAATTTGGTTTTATAAAAAATGTATCTTATATGGTTTTACCACAAAACTATGATCATGGTGGTCACGATTGGATATGGGCTACATTATTAAAATTGCGACTCCACTTATTGGATAAAACGGAAGCTACTTTGTATAAATATTTCAACGGTTTGGAAGAACACTTGAAACAAATTCCTGATGTCGATTCGAATTCTGATTTGCATCATTTTGTGATGAAAAACCAACCGGTAGCTTGTTTTGTGGCATTGATGACAACAACTCTTGGACACTCCGTACCTATTATATGCGACAAAGGATTTGATCTGATTGAAGTTTTGCTAGCCGAAGGAAAATACAATCATGGAATTGCCTGTCTTGAATTCATTACTTTATTATTTTTAGAGTGTCCTAACTCTCTGTTCGAATGCAAAAAGTTTTTGTCGATTCTATCTCAAATAATAGCTGCTGACAATACATTGGCTCAATTAGCTAAAAATTTAATAATGAACAATTTTCCTGGTCAAATTTTAAAAAATTTAAATTCAATGATTCAAAACCAGTTGAAAACGTGTAAAGGAATACAGTTTCAAAAATTTTCCGAATGTGTGCAGCTGTGGTTACATTCATTAACAAAACTACCATCTTGGTCTCAAGAACCGGGCGTCGTGTACATTTTAGATAATTTATTACAAAACGTTTATTTTGATTTCACAACAACTAAAATAGTATTATCCATTTTGGAAAATTTAATGGAAGAAAATAAAAAAACAAATGAGTCAAAGTCTTCGCTATCTTATTTAATGGAAATGATGAATTTAAAATTTATCACTTCTTCATTGTCTCTCAAGGAAATTAATGGTGATGTGCCTTGGTTATCATACTCAATAATACAAATTCAATTTGAAAAATTTGAAAAAAAAAATAGTCTTTGGTTGGAATTGTTAAAAGAAATCAATTCGACCATTGATAAGAAAACTGATATTGATTATTCGTTAAAAAAAGTATGCAATTTTTTGGGAATTCCAGTAAGGCCTTCGAGTACACTCTCTATTTATAAATGGACACATCAAATATTAAATACAGATATTTCACATCCTTTGATTCCGTTATTCTGGCAAAAATTTTTTTATCTGTTTTTCTACAGAGTGTCTGATGTGACGGATAGAGGAAGTTTAGGAGATAAATTTTTCGATGGAATTTTTAATCAAAGATTATTCATGCAGCTCAAAAACCGCTTGGAAGATAGTTTGCAATATTTTAAAGATTTGTGTAAAAAGAATGAAACGGAAAAAGAAAATCGTTTTGTAAAATTGTACGAATTGTTTCAATCATTTTCTTTTTGGATTAACGATACTAGTTTGCTCAAACCTAATATTAACACTTACATTCTTCCACCAAAGTATAATCCAGAATTATTGGGATTAATAATACACGGCAGTGAGACTCCATGGATTGATTTTATTGATTATTTTAAAATTGAAGAAAATTTTAAGAGTTCCACATTGCAATGGTTAAAAATCAAAAATAGAAAGGTTTTCGAAAACAATAATAAAAATTCATATCAAAAACCGGGAAAATCCGATTATGTAAAATCCGAAGAAAGATTCAATAGTTATGAGACTCCGCTCCCACCTCCATTAATTAATAAAAAAAAATATTCTTTTTCAAGGATCACTCCGAGTATTTTAATGAATTCAAAAAATATGGTGACTTTTAACAAACCTTTTGTTGAAAAATTATTTGAATTTGAAGAACTAAATAATTTTTTGGATAATGAATATACATCAGTGGTAAAACAAACGTTGGACGTTCTGCCTCATTTATACACCATAATCACAACGGAAAAAAAGTTAAAATGTTGTTGCGATGGAATAAATAAATCAGTGAATGGAAAAATCATTCGTTATTCTTGCACGGGTCCAGCCGTTTTAAATATAAAATACGAAGAATCAAAAATAAATGAAAAAATCGAAAGAGAATTCGATCAAAGTAAAAAACTATTGTACGAAAATCTTAATAAAATAGCAAATTTTTCACCGCCTTATTTGAGCATATCCACCGGCTACGTAGACATTGCCATAGAGGAATTGGTGAAAGAATATCAATCGGCAAAAAATAAAAACATGGATGAATTAATTAATGGATTTAAAAAGACCGGCATTGAAACATTTTACGAATTTATTCAAATTTTACACAAAAACAAAGTGAGAACTCCTCTTTTGAAACAAATTTTCGAAAGATTTATCGATGTTTTGGGTAAGAATTTCATAGAGAACAATTCAACGGAAACCGGACGATTGCTTCAAATCATTTTAAGCGGTGGTGATATTTTGGCGGAAAAACTTATTAAATATTTTTCTCCGAATACGTCTTCACTCGATGACTACATTGTTTATTATTCTTACGTACTGGAGAGTGCATATCCAAAAAAATATTTAATACTTTCCAAATTTGATTTTAATAAGTTTCTTTTCGATAATAAGCCTAAATTCAGCGCGAGATCTCGTTTGATATCGTTAATAAAAATCGGATTGATTTCAGCCAGTCGGGAATTTAATGAAAACAAAAACTTATTAAAGGTAAATTTTTCTTATTTTCTTTTGGCTATTAATATTATGAATTGATCAACGATTTTGTTTTCTCTCTCTCTCTCTCTCTCTCTCTCTCTTTATAGGTATTAAATGAAAATTTAGAAGTTTTATTAAATTATGATTTTCCCGAACACTATGGAGAAATATTAAATTTTCTATTGGAAGCTAGTCAAAATCAAACACTGTGTAAAAGTACATGGTACACTTTTTTAAATTCATTAACTGATGGGAAAATTTTACAAAGGAATAATATAACATCGTGTAATTACAATGAAAATAAATTTTCAATCAAACACCTCAAGCAATATTTTATTCAATGTGCAGGAGATCAGAAAATTTCTTTGGATATCGTACAGGGAACAATCAATGTTTTAGGTACGTTGATTTTTCAATACTTAAAAAATCAAAAAATCAATCAAAAATTGAAATTTTTTTTTTTTTTTTTTTTCTAGCATCAAATTTTAAAAATGAAAGATCAAAATCAACGTGTCACGGTTTATATAGAAAATATCAGGAATATTTCGAACCTTTGATAACATTTTTCGGCATGCTCAGTTATTCTTGCATTGCCAAAACGGTTGAAATAGATAGGGGATCACTTTCAGAAAAATTAACTCAACAATTATGGCCGCTCATATGCGAATTGTACTCGCCCTGGTTGATTCCATATCACAACGTGGAAAACGAGGGGGAATCGATAAAATCAACGGACAATAATAATTACGAAAAAACAATTTGTTGGCCTTGGTCGATAAACGACATGAATTCGGCATCGATTTGCGCGACAATTTTTTCCGAATCCATCAAATTTATTTTAGAAACTTTACCCGGTTTTAATAACGTTCTTCGTTACGTTTGGTTTTTTTACGCCAACAATTTCGGTCACGTTCACGTCAAAGATCACGTTTTAAACGTCATACACGAAAGTTTTCTTATTCTCCCGTGGGAAACGTTTCATCCGAATCTTCAAGATGTCGAATCGATGTTGAAAGTGGTCGATTCTTTTTCTCCCTTCATGCCTCATACATTCGTAGAAAATATTTTTATTAAAATTAAATGGAACGAAATTGTTCAGAGTCATTTAAAGTTGCAAGATGATGATGAAATGTCGACAAAAATCCATATTTGCCTGTTAAATCTTTTTGTTAAAATTCCAGTAAGCCCAATTTTTAAACAGGTGAGCAGTTCAGAAACTGTTTTAAATAAATTTTTTAATTATTATTATTATTATTATTATTCAATTCAAAAATATAATTTTTTTTTTTTTTTTTTTTTGTAGGATGAGAGAGTGATAAATTTATTGAAATCGGCAAACGATTACAGTTGGCATTTTGTAGATTCACGCCATTTTGAAAACGTTTTAAATTATTTTGTTAAAACCTGTGATCCTAGAATAGTTTTATCCGATGATAAATCAGATAATAAATTAGAAGTGGCAATACTTGGGTAGTACTAGTAGTAGTAACAGTAGTTAATTTTTTAATTAAAAAAAAATTATTTAATAAATTAATATTTTTTTTTTTTTTTTTTTGATTTTGCAGATTGCTTCAGTCTTGCGCTGGATATGTACCATTCAATAAACAATTTCATCCGACGACTTTAACGAAAAAAGTATTTTTCATAAGAGCCTGGGTAAAATTGTTAACAAATTCAAATAGAAAATTTCAAACGAAGAATTTCCAACCTTTATTAAAGAAAAATCTCTGGGAATTGTGGGATGTCATGATTTCATTTAATGACGAAAGTAAATGAGGTTTTTCGCGTCTACAACTTTTTTTTTTTTTTTTTTAAATTTTAATGTAAAATTTTTGTCTCAATTATTATTATTATTATTATTATTATTATTATTATTTTTAGTATTTTCGATTGTTCAAAGCGTTGATGAAGCGACAATAGTTTTCGGTGAATTTTTTAACGTTTTAAATGAGCCGGAGTTGTCTTCGGTGGTAATAAATATATTTAAAGAATGGCTGAGTAGTCGAAAGTCTTTGATTAGTATATTTGCCGTCCTTCGCTCTCCTGGTACCTGGCTGGAAAATCCAGATTTGTACGGGAACATAACGGAATTTTCTCTGGAAATTTATTTCGATCACACAGGTTTGATTTATTTATTTACCGATGAATTTTTTTTTATTTTCCCATCATTTTTTACATTAAATACGATATTTAAAAAATTTCAGGGAATTCAGGGAGTTGGAATGAAATAACGAATTTTTTATCCCTACCGAAAAATTTAAATAATAATTTGGTAAAAATATTTTTCGACAATAAATTTTATCTGACGGCTTATGCGGTATTAATGAAAGCCAAAGAAGAAAAAAAACATTTAAAACTTGAGGATTTATTACTTTATTTAACGGAAATTAAATTCTGGTGAGTTTAATTAAAAAAAAAAAAAAAAAGGTAAATTATGTGAATATCAGTAGTAATAAATTTAATCCCTAAAAATTTTAATATTCCAGCGAAAAATCAGAACCGAAAATTATCCTCCTCATAAGTTTTTTATTAAATATGCTGGAGAAAGAAATGAAATGGGATGAAAAAGAAGGATTATGTCTACTTTCAAAATTGCACGAATTGTTATTTACATTTACAGAAGAGAAGGGAACAGGATTGTTTACCGTTTTAGGTTTAAGGAAGCCAACTTTTTCAAACAGGTAAAATTTTAAAATTTTTTTAACGTTAATTAACTGAATAAGGAATGAGGGTAACACGTCCGAATTCTTATTAATAAAAAACGAAACATTCCCATCTAATGATCATTTTTCTAACCCCCCTCCCCCCCCCATTAAATATTTTTCAGGTTCATGTTAATTTCCCTTTGCGTTTGTTCCGGATTAGAAATATATTCGAAAAAAAATCATATCGAATTACAAATGAGAGAACAAATAAAAGCACTCCAAATTATCGAATCGGCCGAAAATAATAAAATTTACAACGATTTGAACCAATATGTTTCCCATGCTAAAACACGTCTGAGTGAGCTTACGACAATAGAAGGAATAATAGAATTTTTAAAAGATTTCGGTTTTAAACTTTTCAATAAAAATTATCTGACTTGAAATATCCACGAAAGTATACACTCGTAAAATATTTCAAATGTTTTCACCGCGGTGATAATTGAAAACATAATGAATCAACAGTATTTTTACAAATATTTTATTTTAGTAATAAATTAATAAAAAAAAAAAAAAAAAAAAAATGATATTGTCAAAAGTAACATATTAGAATTCTATATTTCCTGTTTTATTATGATATATTATTATTATTATTATTATTAATGTGATAAATAATGTGAAAAAAATGTCATATTTCTTAAATAAATTTGTTCAGAAAGTATTTTATATATCTTTTTGCTTTTCGTCACACACACTTTTAAAGCGTACAAAAAAATAAAATTATCTAAGTTTTTTGTATAGTAACCATATTTTTTAATTCTGCTATTTCGTTTTCTTTTTGAGCTAAAATTTTTCGCAATTCGATTATTTCCCGTTCTTTATCCCTTATTATTTTTTGCCTATCTTCAATGTATAATGTTTTCATATCATTTTCCACGTGTCTTTGACAAATATTTTCTACTGCTTCCACTTCTACCGCTACAGCCTTCGATTGAATTTCTAGTTCATTAAAAGATTTATAATTCAAATTTTGCAATTTCGATATTAATTCCGTAGAATTAGGACGTTTACTAGTTTTATGTGATATTAAATCTTTAATTATGGGTACGAATTCGATTGGAATAGAAGAAGGTAATTCTCCCGATCTGGCTTTTGTTAACACTTTGACTCTTTCCATTTCGGTTGAAAAAATGGTCAATAATTCAATTAAAATTAATCCTAAACTAAACATATCACTTTTAAAATCACAACAGCCTTTTAATTGCTCAGGTGCTGCATACAAAGGAGTTCCAAATTTTCCACCCTCCAACAAACACCCCGAATGTTCGTGTCCTTGTAAACATGCTAAACCAAAATCGCCAACTTCTACTGATTTTAAATCATGACTAAGAAAAATATTACGAGGCTAAAAAAAAAAAAAAAAGACAAAATGACAACTCATCGGCACTTATAATTTCATGTATGATGCTAAAATTTAATTGCAATTTATCTCTTCATTATCATTACTCACTTTTATGTCGTGATGCACAACATTGCAAGAATGAATGTATTGAACTCCCATTGAAATTTGAATCATAATGTACATAGCTAATGATATATCTACTGTATTGTCTAAATTTCGTTTGTTAAGCCATTCATTAAGAGTTTCATCACATAATTGCATTGTAAGATATAATAGAGCATTCAGCTACAAATTAATAAATAATTTAAATAAAATATAATAACTTATTTAAAAACGACCAAGAAAAAAAAAAAAGTACCTGTGGTGCAGGTTTTTGAACTATTTCTTTAGCAGAATATTTACAAACTGCCATATTACTTTCGTTTTCTTCTTCTTCTTGATTACTATTTTTATTAGTGTTTGATGGATTAGATTCAGTATATTCGAATACAACTATGTCAGAATCATTACTGCTTATTTTAGTATCATCAGGTGAATCGATAGGAGAAGAGAAGTCGAATAAAGGTTCCAACCAGGCTGCCTTATATTGTACTATATTACAATGATTGAGCTTAGCCAAAGTTTTAACTTCATTTAATTTTTTTTCAAATTGTGAAATATTCTTATATTTTAATGGAATTTTTTTAACTGCATAAACTACTTCATCTAATAAATTTTTCGCTTTAAAAACTTTTCCAAATCCACCGGATGCCACAAGGCCTAATTCTTCATATTCACTAGCATATCTTTTATTAAAAAAAAATGAAAAATTAAAATTTTAAAAAAATTTTAAAAGTCATTAATTTCTAAAACTGAGAGTTTTTAAAAATAATATTTGATAATATTGAAAGAAAATTACCTTGAACTTCCTAATTTGAAAGAAGGTGAGGGTAGAATTCTCGTAGTTGGTGTTATAATTGCATCAAGTAAAGCTTGTTGATAAAATCCTCTAAGTGGTGCCAATTCTTCAAGATTGTATGTGGCCTCTACTAAATGCATTTGATATAATTTTCTGCAAATTCTTTGATACAATTGATGCCTTTTACTGGAATCTTTTTCAAAAAGTTTACAAAGTTGATCTATTAAAGACTCTATAAAAAGGCTTTTGGCAGTAGCTTTAGAAACATCTTCTGTAGTCGGTATAATATTACCATTTTTATTTAGTCCTTTTAAAACAAAAAAAATTTGTTATTTTTAAACAGAACAATATTCTTTTGACGTATTATTAATTTTTAAATATATTATTATTATGCATTATTTGATATGAAAAAAATGAACTGACCTGTATCAAAATCGTCAATTGTGCTAAGACTAGACCAACCACTCGAAATAATTGCTTTTGATTCACTCATAACTTAATGAAATAATTTTTTTAAAAATTTTTCGTCGAGAAAAAGAAGCTTAACAAACAAAAATTTTGTTTGTAAAAAATTATTTCCATATTTTTTTTAACGTGTTTTTTTTTTTAACGACTTGGCAACACTGTTTTCATTTATGCCAACATTTAACTATTAATCTTAACATCTGTTTAACGTCAAGAAAAGTGTGGTAGTGTTAAAGTATGATTTAAAATAAATATTTAAACTTTTTATATTTATATTTTTAATTTTAAATATGGGGAAGACCGTTTACGCTGAAGAAAGCATTTTAAATTATTTAAAAAATTTATCAAAAAATAATGGATGTACCACCGGTCTAATATTAGGGCAGGCAAGTATTCACTTCAAATATTTTAACTCTAATTTATTTCTAAGTAATTCAATTATTCTTTTATTTTATAAAAAAACATAATAACTTTTTATAATTAAATTTTGACATACTTAATTTACTAATTTTTATTTTTCACAAGGTTAGAAAAGAAAAATTGTTGAAAATGAAAATTATTGCCACCCTGTATTTAATTAGATTTCATACTTCATTGGAACTATTGTTGCTTCATTGTAACAGGTGTGCACAGAGTTAAAAAATATTAATCTGTATAAACAATTAATTACCTGGATTTAAATTTTCTGTTTTTGTCATTATTACTTAAAAAAAAAAAAAAAATTAAATAATTTTATTCCTTTAAATTAACTTTTTAAGTACCTTAATGAAAATCCTTATAATAATTTAAAAGACGAATTAAAGACAAGTAAATATTGTAATCAAATAGTAATATTTAATTGAGGACCTGGATTGGTAAAAACTTAATTTTTTTTTGATTTTATTTTAGAATACAAAATTGAAAGATTATGTTGTTCTCATGGTTCGTACACCTGAAGAAACAGATTTTGAAATTAAATCAAAACAAGTTTTAACTGCTGCCACATTTGAATCTGTAGATGATATAGAAGGAGATTTGATAGCAAATCATGCTAAGCATGTTATTAAAATGCTTCCTGGTGGAATGTCGATATTAGGTGCATTTATTTGTAGTCCAAATAATATATTTAATGAGAATTCGACAATATCCAAAGCCAAGTCGATACTTCATTATTTACACAGAGAATTTACAAATGAGCCTTTATTAAATGCTGGCAGCCTTTTATCGGAACAATTAATGTTGCATTTTAATACAACAGATTCTCAGTAAGTTTCAATTGCAATAATATTATTTTTGAATTGTTTATACATGAATAAATCTTTTAAATTAATGTAATATACATTGAGCTTTAGTACTCTTGAATGAAAATGCTAAAATTAATAAAGCTGTACATTTTTTTTTTTTTTTTTTTAGATATATTTGTAAATCATTTGATTTCAACACACCGAATGGTAATTTCAAGCCGACAGAAATCATATTTCAGAATAATTTTACAAAATGGTGTAAAATTTATTGTAATTATGATATTACCTTGCCATCCTTTGATGGCAATATGTTTTGTCATGTTAAAGATCAATTAAAGGTAATATACGAGAACTTTTTTTTTACACTTTGAATTATAAATTTTCACAGATTATTTTACATAAGAACTAATTAATAATTTTAGGTAGCATTGAAAGAAGTTCATCAAAATTTAGAAACTGCTATGATTATATTAGATGGAAAAGTTAACAAACCTGATGAAGTTTTAGAATCTGTTATAAAGAAAAAAAATCATTCTGATTTGAAAAATAGCTCGAATAAAAATCTACCAAGTTTGAAAGTTGATATATTTATGCCGTATAAAAAAGTAAATTTTAAATACTTTAGTTTTTGTTTAAAAAATTTAAAAAAAAAAAAAAAAAAGTTACTTTTAAAAATTTATAATAAATTTTTATAAATCAATTTAGAGTGAAAATTCTAGGGATGTAATTATGCAGGATTATGATGCAGAATTGCATTTATTAGGGGTTTTAGCATCACAAGTTTTTCTCAGTCAAAATACGACAGTGGCAGAAGCAATCAGAGCGATTAAACAGGATATAGTTAGATCGCTAACAGCCAGATTTGAAATGCATTGGGATTCTTTAGTAGAGGAGGAATATGGGTCTCCAGATGGTAATTATCTTATCATATTTATTTATTTTAGTTTATTTTTTTAAAAAAAAAAAAAAAAGGATAAGCGAAATGACTTTAAAATAAATTTTTTTTTTGTGAATTTTTTATATTTTTTTTTTTTTACAGAAACTTCTAGTATTCATGAGCCTCCCAGAAGAGTTTCAGTTTTATTACCAGAGAGTGTCTTAGCTTTTAATGATTATTTATTTCCTGGTGAAGGAGCAGATGAAGTGATTTTTTCTTTTAAAGAAATGCTAGATGTAGACATTGATGAAAATAATGTAGAAAATGAAATTGAAATCTTGGGGGGTAAGAATTTATAATATTTTGATTGAATTTTTCATGTCACGTTTTTTTTTTTCCTTTCAATTTTGTAAATTTAATTGCAGATCCGATGGAATTTTATGAAAAATCTTCAGGTGAGTTATCGAAGGATTCCTCAGATAAACTACTTGAATCATTCCTTTCGAAGGGTTTAATTATATTATTTTCTATGGTAATTATTTTACTCGGTATTATAATAGCATTTCAAATTCAAAAAAAGGATAAAATAGAAAAAATTGAAGAATTTGAAAAAAATGATTTTTAATTAAAAAAAAAAAAAAAAAAAAAAAAAAAAGTTGATTTTTTTTTTTTTTAAACTTTTCGAAAAGACATTTTAATTATTATAAAACCTATATTTAATTTAAAAAATTTTTATAATTTTTAAATTTTAATTAATATGTATTTAATAATTAGAGTGAAAATTTAATCTAATGAAATTAATTTTAAGAAGGGAAATATATATAAAAAAAAATTATTATTTTTTTTTGAACCTATAAAATGTTTTTGTATTACATTTACTATAAATATTAAAATGGTTTTAAATTAAAAATTAATTTTTTCATGTTATATTACTAATTTTAAAATATTTATTTTTTAAACATCAAACAGCCAAAGCAATATTCTATTTGTATCAATATTAAATGAATATTTCATGCGACTCATGTCTTCTACATTAAACTACCTATGAATGACAAAAAAAAATTGAAGTAGGCATTTATAATTTAAATTATTTATATTTAAAATTTAAATGAATATTATAAATTTGTAACATATTAACTTGGTCGTTTTTCATTTTCTGCTTTTAATTCTTGAATTAACTGTGCTCTAAAAATATGTTTAAGAGGAACAATTTTTTTTTCATTCATTTCTTTTTCAATTTTTTCCTGTTTTCTACAAGCTTCTGTGAAACTTAAACCATACCATTCAATTTCTTCAATCTGAAAAATAATTCATTCCAATTAATTTATTAAACTTAATATACATGCATTTCTATACTTATTTACAATACTCATGATTTCAGACTAACCAAAAATAAAATTAGTCACAAAATACCTGTGAATAACTAAATTTTTTTAAATATATACTTACTGGCAGAAGGTATTTTTCATATTTTTCAAAAATTGATTGGTTTTTTTCTTCATCATAAGGTAATTCTTTATAATGCAATTTAAACAATAATTCTCTTTTAAGTTTGAGAGCAATCAATGTTTGCAAGTCACATGCTTTAGTCTAAAATACACAATTATTTATTACTTAGGATCAACATGTCAATTATTTTAATTATTCATTATAAAATTTAAAAAAAAAAAATCGACTATAAAAATAATACCAACTTTTAATAAATAATTATCTAATCCTTTGTGCTCATGTACAAGTTCTACAACTCTTTTTGTCAAAATTACAGAGAAATACTTATCGAGAATTTCACTGTATATAACAGATCTAAAAAGAGTAGGTGTCCAAAATTTAGGTACATTTATCTCATATTTGTTTTTATTCTTTTTAAAACCTTGTATTATAGTTTCTCCACCAGTAAATACATTATTCATTTCCTTGGGAAAAATTCCAGGCAGTGGAACATTTTGAACACGTTTTCTAAAATTAAAAATACATTTAAATTAAAGTACATTTAATTTAAAAATTGATATTGTAACTTTTTGAATAATAATTACATTTCTCCCGTTTCTTCATCTTTTACCCAGGTTCTTTTTTCAGGAATATAATGAACAGGTTCTGGAGCTGTATAACGCCATTCATTATAAAATTTTCTATAAACTTCTGGTAGTCTAGCTCCTACACCTTGGTCAAAAATTGATGGTTTATATTTTAAATACCATGAAGAAATCTATTATTTTTAAAATTACAAGTTAAATAATTAATAAAATTTTTTAAATATATATATACTGAAAATATCCGTATTTACTACCTCTTTAACAGTTTTTTGCATACTGTATTTAAATTTCAAATATCACATTTGAAATTAAGCATATCGGTAAAAAAAAAAAAAAATTAAGTTTTGAATTTGTACTTTTCCACTGTAATTTTTATTAATCAACTGAGCAACTTAATGTAATTAAAAATTATTATTAACTATAAAAATTTATTTTAAAAAGTTTTTAAAAAAATATTTTTTAAATAAAGTATTTATACTTTATATTTTAAAAATTAATAATCCCTAAAAAAATTTAATTTGCTTGAAAGTGGAAGCATGCTTTTTTGGGACTTATTGGCTCTCATTACCGGCCATTTTGTTTGGCGTGTGACAATTGAAGTAGGTTGTGCAAAAAGTTATTTAAAAATATTGCATTCATGATGGTAAAAGCAGAAAATGAGGTAAAAAATTTTACGTATGCATTTTATTTAAATTGTATTAAAAAAAAATTATTTAGTTTTTGTTTTTAACTTTATTTTTTCAACGAATTTCGTATAATTCAAATTCGGCGTCACTTAAGCATACATTTCCTCCATGTTTGTCACCTTGATATTATTAATTTTTTGTTTTTTAAGTTTATGGAAACAGTAGTACAATAAATCCAATGAAAAATTACGTATTAATTAATTATAAATTTTAGATAATAATTACCTTTTTGATTTTCGTTACTAATATTTTAGGTTATTGACCTTATTTAGATCCAGCATAGATAGTTGCTATTGCTAACATTACAAGTAATTTCATACTTGATTTACTGCCTAAATTCGTACATAATTGTAGTTTTCATATTAAAATTTGCTTATTTATTATAAATATAATTGCATTGGTATTTTAAAGGAAGCACCCAAAGAGAATACTGTAACAGCATCTAATACTACGCCTGCACCAGCAGCAGAAACGAAAACCCAAATAACAGAACCTGAGCATTTAAGAAAATTATTCATTGGTGGTTTAGATTATAAGACTACAGATGAAACGTTAAAATCCCATTTTGAAAAATGGGGAGAAGTAGTAGATGTGGTTGTAATGAAAGATCCGAAAACTAAAAGGTCTCGCGGCTTTGGCTTTATTACATATGCAAAAGCTCACATGGTAGATGATGCTCAGGCTAATAGACCTCACAAAGTGGATAACAGGACTGTAGAGCCGAAAAGAGCAGTTCCAAGAACAGTAAGTAATAAATTGTTAAAAAATTATTTGCAATAATTTTAGCTATCTTTTATAATTAAATAATTAATAATTGTTACCCCAAGGAAAGCGGAAGGCCAGATGCTGGTGCTTCAATTAAAAAATTATTTATTGGGGGTATAAAAGATGAGCACGAAGAAGAAGATTTAAAAGAGCATTTTAAGCAGTTTGGAAACATTGTTTCTTGCTCTATTGTTGTAGACAAAGACTCTGGCAAAAAAAAAGGGTTTGCTTTTGTTGAATATGATGACTACGATCCAGTTGACAAAGCATGCTGTAAGATAATTTATTGTTACTTATTTATTAAACAACATTGAAACTTTTTTTTAATCATGTGTACAATTTCTTAATGTTTAATTAAACTAAATACATTTGTTGTTTTATTAATAAACAACAATTTTTTTTTTTTTTTAGTACAAAAAAATCACACAGTAAAAGGTAAACATTTGGATGTTAAGAAAGCTCATGGAAAAGATGGGAGAGGAGGAGGCAGAAATGGCGGAGGGCGGCAAGGAGGAGGGTGGGGTGGAGGACGTAATCAAGGCGGTGGCTTCGGCGGTAATAGTTGGGGTAAATATAACGTGTATTACAAAAATTAAATAAGGAAGGAACATTTTTAAAAAAAAAAAAAAAATTTCAAAACTTGCAGGCAATAGTGGTGGATGGGATAACCAGGGGGGTTGGGGAAATCAAGGTGGATGGAGTAATCAAGGAGGTTGGGGCAATGATGGTTTTGGTGGGGGCTATCAGCAAGGTTATGGAGGAGGTCCCGTTCGAGGTGGAAACTTTGGAGGAAATCGTAACGGACCATACGGTAATTAATTACAGTATTCGTATTGTACAATACCTTAGAATAATTATTGTTAATAATTTTATCATTATTTTGAATTTTTTTTTAGGTGGAGGTTATGGAGGTGGCGGCGGCGGTGGCGGTGGCGGTAACAGAGGCCGCTATTGAATTTGGTAAAGTAATCGTTATTTTTTTTTCTTTTTTTTTTTAAACTATTTAAAAACCGTCCTTTTATACTTCCTTACGTAAAAATATTTTTTTTAAAAAAATCATACCTTTACCTTTTTTTTTTTTTTTTTTTTTTTTAGTAAAGCTTTTATTTAAAAAAATTTATTTTCTCTTTAGCTGTGAAATGTTGTGGCAATTCGGCCAAGACAATATTAAATTTCCATTCAATGTTATTTAATATTTTTTTAAATTCTACTGTTTAATTATTATTATTGTTACTTAGTAGAAGTTGTTAAGAATATCTACGAATAGCTTATTATTATAAATAATAATGTTTATTGAACATACTAATGATACGAATTTTTTTGTATAAGCAGACGAAAATAAATGGCAGGCTAAAGAAGGGACCGCTAGGGAGTTGGCGTTGAATTCGATCAATTATAGGTTATCCTAACTCGGCTGTTTAGAGAGGTAGCCTGTCTTCAGTTCTCAATTTACACTTCTTCAGTTAAAGTTCAAGTTAGCAACTGCTTTCTTCAAATTAGTTTCAAAAAAAATAAAAAAAAAAAAAAAATACATTATTGAAAACAGTGTTAGTGTGCGCCATCAAGATTTCGGAACTAAGATCAAGTATAATTGTCAATATTTTTATTCGAATAAAGTATATAAATCAGTGTTTAGTGTTAGTCACCTATTTAAGTTGGAAAAAAAAAAAAAAAAATTGAAAAAAAAATGAAAAAAAAAAAAAAAAATGAAAAAGTCTGTGTTTCTACATTCTGGGTTTTCTTTTCTTTTTTTTTTTTCTTTTTTTTTTTTTTTTTTTCCAAGACAAGAAAAGTTAGGTTTTTATGTTGGAAATCACCCCCGCCCCCCTCCCCCTTCCTCCTTCCTTCATCGGAAAGCTTTTTAATTTTTTTTTTTTTTTTTTTTTTTTTTTTATCTTTTATTTTGCAGAGTCTACCATTTTTTTTTGAGAAACATTTCTCAAAAGGAATCGTAGCACTTTTATCCATTTAAATACGACTAAAAAAATTTTTTTTTTTTTTTTTTCTTATATATATATATACATATAAATAAAAGCAAGAAGTTTTGCACAAATATGCTTTTTATTTAAACTGGTTTTTATATTATTTGTTAATTTGAACTCTTTTTTTTTTTTTTTTCTTTTTTTTTTTTGTTTTCTTGTTTTTTTTTTTTTTTTTTTTTGGTAAAATGAAAATTTCATTAACGACCCCGTTTCACTTTTTTTTAATTTATGTTAATAAATAAATTTAATTAATTAATTAATTAATTAAAAAATAATAAATAAATTTTTTAAAGTATTAATTGTGAGATGTGAAAACATTTGTACAACCGTTTGAAGTTAGGTTTAATTAAAGAAATAGAAACTTTTTAAACATAAGATAAGTTGTTTTATTACTGTAGTGAAGTAGTGAATTATTATTATTATTATTGTGGTGTTCCCTTTTTTTTTTTTTTTTTTTTTTTTTTTTTTTACCTTATTCCTTTAAATATTTTTTTTTAATTAATGAGTAAATTAAAATGAAATAATAATAAATATCATCTTTTTTTAATTGAAAAAAAAAAAAACAACAAATGATAATTAAATTTATAATAATTAATAATGTCAGTGAAAAGCATATATATATATATTATAGTAATTAAACGTTTTTTTTTTTATATTTGTTCGATTATTTGCTGTCAAACGTTATATTTTAACCTCACGATTATATTTAAATAACCATCATCTAAATAATCAAGGCTCTCGACATTTGGAAGATACTTAATTAATATATTTGAAGTGAGTAATTTCTTAACGAAAAGGTTGTTATATTACTATTAAATTATTATAATAAGAATAATAAAAAAATAAAAAAATAAAAAAAAAAACACATGTGATTTAAAATTTTTAAATTATCTTTTCAGAGATACAAAAAAAAAAAAAAAATTATTATTATTAGAATATTTATTATTATTATTTTTCTCTTATTATTTAAATTTTAGGATGAGGAAGACGTTTCTCGAATGGAAAAAGAAAAGGTCGTCCGTGAAGACGTCAGGAATTTCCCATAAAACTTCTTCTCCCCATTTTGGATTCATATATTTGAGAGAATTGAAAAAATAAATCTTGGGTTTTGAGAGAAGTTTAACTCGTCGATCAATTTTCAGGTACCCACCAATATTTCAAAAAATTTTTATTTTATTTTTTTCAAAGCTTTTGGTGTTGTTACTGTCTCTCCTTAAAATTTGAGACTTTGTTATTACTGCTACCTCTTTATACTTATTAATATTGTAAATTTTTTTTTTTTTTTACGTTTCAGAACGCTGAAAAATTTTAATAATAATAATAAGTAAAAAGCTCGAGTTTCACGATGGGGAAAAATTATATTTTTTCTTTTACACACGGAGATGCTATGAAAAATTCAGGTAGGATATTTTTTTTTTTAATCAAATTAAATTAATAAAATTAAAGTTTTTTTTTTTTATATTTAAGATTCGGTTATACACAGTTTGCCTTATACACTTAGCTTAATTTAAATTATTTAAATATTTAAAAAAAAATTATAGTTAATAATTCTACGTGTAAAAATAAATTATCAGGAAACATTTTATGTTTTTTAAACGGTCAAGAATATTTTTTTTTTTTTATTATTAAATGATTGGGCCTAGAATGATAATAATTAAATCGATTATTTATCAAAGACTTTAAAAAATTCTTAAATAATTTTAAAAGAAAGAGGAGGTTTAAATCATTGTCCAGTGATTCATAAAAATTTTATTTCTATTAATGCAAACACTGCAGGTTTCATTCGGCATTGAAAATCCATTAATTTCGTTTCTTAGTAAAAAATTTCTGTAATAAAAATAAAAGTAATTATTTACGTAATAAAAAATATATTTTTTTTTCTCTAAGATGATTGTTAAAAGGGCAATAATAAATATCAGGACGTATCCCTAAAAAAAAAAAAAAAGAATTTTCTTTTTATTTATTATTTTTAATAGTAGGAGGTTTTTACTCGGTTAAAAAGTTTATAATTTCATATTTTTATTATTCAGGTTTTTTTTTTTTTTTAATTAATTAATTTTGAATACCTTACTAATAATATTTTATTAAGTTTTTAAAAATTATTCCCAGTGTATTTTGTTTTTAAATTATTTTTTTTTATTTTCTAACGTTTTAGTTTTTATTATTATTATTATTTTTTTTAAATTGATTTTAAATGATTAGTCTAATTATTTTTGTTTAAAAAAAAATGTTTGTTTTTTTTTTATTTCAGCTTTTTGTTTTTTTTTTTTTTTTTTTTTTTTTTTTGTTAAAATTTAGGCAAATTTTTTTAAATTGGATTATAATTCGTGTAGTTGAGCCTTTTTTTTTTTTTTTGATTAGGATTTGTTTTAAAAAGGTACACAATTGAAATCAGTCATACCTGTACTGTTGATCCATGTGAGCTTTTTCGATTCTTTTATGTTTAGCTCTCCTGTTTTGAAACCATATTTTTATTTGAGTTTCCGTCAATTGTAATTTTTCAGCCAATTGAAATCTTTTCCCTCTCGAAACATATTCGTTACGTTGAAATTCCATTTCTAAATTGTACGTTTGTTCGTTAGAAAAAGTCGTTCTTTGTCTCCTCGGACGATTTTCTTTCTTCCTTTTTTTACCTACTAATACAACAATCGAAATAAGAGGATATATATATATATAAACCGTATACAATAGTAAGAGTGTTGAAAATTAAAACATCACCATTATGTTTCAAATGCATGCACTTGTTTTTTTTTTTTTTTTTTTCAATTCTATAATATAAGTTTGATGGAGGTTTTTTGTAAAATTTAACGATTATCGGATAAAATGTCTATTGTTACACGGAGTAGTTAAATCAATGAATTATTATAATTTATAACATGAAGTTAATTCCCATGAAAATAGATAATAATAATAATCACAATGATAACAATGGTGTGTGTGTGTGTATGTAGTATTGTAAAAGGATTAAGAAACTCGACAAAGGTTTAAGCCCTCCGACATATTTACCTTATAATATCAATATCATTTCCTTTGAATTTTATATAAATATAACAATAGTATTAATATTTCGCCCAATATGGTGGCTCCCAAGGAATTTATAAAGCGTAAAATAGGATTCACTATTAGAGAGAAGAGAATCTTTCGCATGTAAAAATCTCAATCAAAAAATTACCTCTTGTCATTGTTATTACTTATTTACTTTATTTTATTTTTATTTTATTTATTTATTTGTTTCCAGATTGATTTTTGTTTCGTGTTTTTTTTTTTGGAAAGAGAAATAAAAAGAGGTCTTTCTTTTTTTGTTTTGTTTACGGACCCCCAAAAACTTTTTTTTTTTTTTTTTTTTTTCAATTTATTTATTATTAGTAAGTGATTTTGTACACAATAATTATTTTTTATATTTATACTACCCTGATACTTATTAATTTACTTTAATTAGTTGTTGTTGTGACCATTTGGGGGAGGGGGGGAAAGTACTTTAATAAGTTTAATAACGGAAATACATAAGAAAATTATAGTTATTTAAAATTCTATCTTAATAATTTGTTATTAATTAATTTTGAAATTTATTAATTATATTTAAATACTTACGAAATGCCGATATTTCCGTTCCAGATTTTGAAATGTTGTAATCGAAAAAACTTTTTGATGATAAAACGGTCGGAATGAAGAAGGAGGAGGAGGAGGGCGGCATCGATGGAAGAATTTTATTTAATATATCTCCATTTTTTCCAAAACTTCTTTCATCAACGCCATAATTATAATATTTATTTTCTTGAAAATTTTGACTTGACTTTCCAGCATCGTTTACGCCATTGACGAATTCTTTATCATCGTAACAATTTTTTTTTATATCGTTATCTAAATGCCCGTATAATTTTTCGAAAAAATCTTTCGGGCAAGAAGGTTTTGAATTTTTAATATTTATTTTTTTCATTTTTAATATAATTATTTACGTTACGCGAATAGGAGTCAGCCGGTATTAAATTAAATTTCATTTTTTTAAAAACTTCAGTTGTTAGCGAAGTTGAAACGACGATGGTAAATTATATTAACATTTTTATTTTTTTTTTCTGAAAAAGTATAGATTGAGATGCACTTTTAAAACTGATAATAAAAAAAAAAAACGCGGAAATTTCTAACACTTTTTAATAAATAATAAATGCGACATAACGACTTGATCAAAAATAAATACAAGAATGAAATATTTTGTTGCACATGACAAGGGATGGTAGGCTTTAGTTCCGCCCTCTTTTTTTTTTTTTTTTGTTTTCCGTCAGTTATATATATATTTATATCTGATAAATTTTATTATTTTAATATTATAAATTCTTTATAAAATTTTTTAAATCACGAATTTAATGCTCTTTTAATAAAGTTCGATTCTAACAAAACAATTTTTTTATAAATTCATCACTTGCAATGTAATATTAATAATAATAAAATTATTTAAAAAAATATAAATAATAAAAAGTATTTAGATGATGAATGCAAGAGTCATGATGGATTTAATTGTAATTAAATTTTTAATTAAGTGTTTCTTTACTTAATGTTAAAAAAATAAAATAAAAAATTAAAAAAAATTGATGAAACATTTTATTCATATAAGTTACAATACATGTGGATTTTTTGATTAATACTTGATAAATTATTAAAATAATACATTTAAAAATTATTTTTTAATTAATATAAAAAAAAAAAAATGATTGTATAAAAATTAATAATATAATGGACAATATTAAAAAATTTATTCAATTTAATAATTGTAAAAAAAAAAAAATTTTAGTAGACCAGCTACTAAATTAAAAAATTATTCACTAAAGATAAATTTAAAAAAAAAAAAAAAAAAAAAGATTAAATAGATTTTATTTTAATTAATTAAAGTTTAAAATTAATACTTAAAAATTTTTATGTTGACCTTATAATTACATGAAAATAGCAAATCTCTCTCTCTCTCTCTCTCTATCAGCTCGTAATCTTTAAAATACTTTGTAAAAAAAAAATAAAATAAAATTTTTCTAATTTTATCCTGGATTGTTATGAGTATAGTTATTACCATAGCATTTGTATATTTTTAAATTAATATAATTTATCATTAATTAAATTATTTGATTAATTTTTTTCCTTTTTCTCACTATTTGATGACTAACTTTAACACAAGAGGTTTTGGGTTTAATACTTTCATTAACTGATGATTCTGTAGTGGAAAAATCACATTTATTTTGAATATTATTTTTTATACTAGATAAATTTGTAACACAATTTAAAAATGCATTAGTTTTTAATAAGGATTGAAAAGAAGAAAGTAATATTTTTTTATTTTCATTTTTCAGGTCCCTTGACTTACTTAAAGTACCTTAAAAAAAAAATAAATAATTATTGTAAATTGAAGAAAATTTTGTTAAGCATTTTCCTAATAACAACTTACTCTTTTCTTGTTTGCATTCTTCTAGTTCTAATGTTTTTTCTTCAATTATTTCTAATAATTTTTTTTCTCTGTTTTCCATTTCGATAACAACTTGTAATAACGGCAATGTGAATTCGTTATATAACTGCAAGTGATTGAAAAAAAATATGTTAAACAAATTAAATTATTAAATATTTTTAGTAAAATAATTGCATGCTTTAAAAATGTGTAAAATATAAAAAAGTAGATATATTTAAATTTCATGCTTTTTAAATTAATGTTATATAAAGACTTTGTTTAATATTTCAATAATAATTTTAATCACTTACTAATTCTTCATTTCCCTTAAACAAAAAAATTTCAAAATAAAATTTCACACCGATTTGAATACTTTCTAATTTAAGGACAATATTATCATTATTATTGTCTTTAAGTAAATACTTTTTAACTTTATCATCTTCTATGAATAAATTAAAAATCAGTTCCTTAAGTTTTAATTTTGAAACTTCAAAAAGTGGATTAAGTCTCTAAATTATCAATAATTAAAATTAAAATAATAATCATAGTAATTATTAACAATTATTACTGTCAGTACATAAAATTTACCTGAAAGGTAGAGAAGAGGTCATAATCGTGCAGAGCTCTGTGCCAAACGTTTTTAAAATCGCTAATAAGTATCGTACAAGATTCACCATTAACAATTTTTTTTCCAATGTAATTTTCCCCGTCTATTTTAAACCACATTATTTGTGTGTATTTGAGATATTTTTTTTTTACGTGGCTTTAGATTTTATGTATATAAATTCTGTATTATCAGGTGGTGGCACTAGCTAATACTAAGTGGCGGTTGTAGTAATTAATAAGTTATTCGCATGCTTAAATCATTATATACTTTTTTTTTTTTTTTTTTAATAATGTTTTTTATTAATTGATTATGAATTTTTTTATTATTTTTTTTCAGTATTTTATTTAATTTTTTTGCCGTCTGTAAGTTTTTCATACAGGGTGTTTCTATGATAGTTTTTGCCATGTGGCTTTTTTTCTACATAACAAGATAATTATGCATTTTTTTTTTTTTTTTTCACTAATATAAATTATGATTTCTAAAAATAAAATTTCAAGTATAACTTCATTACAATACTTAGTTTTTTCCGTTCTTTTCGATCGGTAGTTGTTATAAAGTTATTTAAAGTTGTTTTGTATTTTAATTAAGTTCGAGGCTGCTTTCAATTAATTTACAATTAACAGTCATCAATATTTGCTTACATTGAGCGGTAGGCTTCAATTTTTAGCGTACTTATGAAATACTACAAGTAAACTTTGACTTATGAAATTTTTTATTGTATTTTTCAAATGTTAAGGTTTTTAAAATGAGTGCTGCTAAATATACAGAGCCCTGCGACACTGCTCTTTTGCCCAAAGGAGATCATCAAAAAACATCTGATGATGAAAAAGTGCAAATGAAAAAAGAATTGGGTCTCTTAGAAGGAGTAGCTATTATTTTAGGAATTATTTTTGGATCTGGTTTGTTGCTATTATTATTATTATTTTTTTTTAACTGATTATAAAAATTTTTTTCATAATTTTTTTTTTTTTTTAGGAATATTTATTTCTCCGAAAGGGGTTCTTCAAGAAGTGGGATCACCAGGGTTTTCTATTTTGGTATGGGTATTATGTGGATTGCTATCCATGATTGGAGCATTATGTTATGCTGAACTTGGGACATCCATTCCAAAATCTGGTGGAGATTATGCATATATTTTTGAAGCTTTCGGTCCATTGCCTGCATTTTTATACTTATGGGATGCCATGTTAATTTTCGTGTTAGTTTAGAATTTTTCTTAAATAATTATTTTCAAATATCATGTAATGAAATAGTAATTAACGATGTGAAATGTATATATTTTTCCAGGCCAACAACAAATGCCATAATGGGTCTCACTTTTGCTTCTTACATCACCAAACCACTTTTTCCATATTGTGCAATTCCAGATGCTGCTATAAGATTAATTGCAGCTGCTGCTATATGTTAGTAAATCAAACTCATTTGGTTTTCATTTTTCATTGAAGAAGTTTTAAAAGAAAATTTAAATTTTTGCTTATAGGTTTGCTAAGTTTTCTTAACTGCTATGATGTTAGATTAACGACTAAATTGCAGAATTTATTCATGTTCACCAAAATATTTGCTTTAGTCATAATTATTATAGCCGGTTTCACATATGCTGCTTTGGGAAATGTTGAATATTTTGAAAATATATGGCAAGGAACTGTCACAGATTCGGGGAGAATAGCAGTTGCTTTTTATTCTGGGATATTTTCTTATTCTGGATGGTGAGTACAATTTTAAGTATTTCAAATTTAACATTCGTTTTTCTTTTTGTCTAAAAATTTTTTTTTATTTTTCAGGAATTATTTAAATTTTATGACTGAAGAACTTAAAAATCCCTATGTGTGAGTTTTTTTTTTTTCATTTTGATTTATGTTATTTAATTTTTTTTTAACTTTACTTAAATTTTTAAAAATTTATTTTGTAGAAATTTACCGAGAGCTATTTACATTTCTCTTCCGACAGTAACAATTGCTTATGTATTGGCTAATATAGCATATCTTATTGTTTTAAGTCCTGTAGAATTGATTGCTTCTGATGCTATCGCAGTTGTAAGTTGAATCTGTTTTTTTATTTTCAATTAAAAAGATTTCAATTAAAGATGTATAAAATATAATTAGTATTTTAGACTTTTGCAGATCATTTACTCGATTACTTTTCTTGGGTCATGTCAATTTTGGTTGCCATATCAGCTTTCGGAGGTTTAAGTGTACACATAATGACATCTTCAAGAATGTGTTTTGTCGGAGCAAGATATGGACACTTTCCAGCCATGTTGTCTCACATAAACATAAAAAGATTTACTCCCACACCTTCTTTAGTTTTTTTAGTAAGGCAAACAAAATTGTTGTATGTATTATAAACGTTATTTAGTGCAAAATTTCTTAATTTTTTTTTTTTTTAAATTTCAGATGATATTATCTTTAATTATGTTATGCACTAGTGATGTTTATGTATTAATTACATACAGCAGTATCGTCGAATCGTTTTTCATTATGCTTTCCGTTGCCGGTATTTTATATTTACGTTGGACTAAGCCGAACATGGAAAGACCTATAAAAGTAAATAAAATTTATCATTAAATCATGTCAATAATTTTTGTAATTAGTTGCAATACTTTTATTGTAGACTTACTTCCTTCTTGTTTTCTCATACGAATGCTTATTTACAGGTTTCATTATGGGTCCCAGTAACATTTGTCATTATATGCGCCCTTCTCGTTATAATACCGTGTTTCGAACGTCCCATAGAAGTCGGGGTAGGAATATTGATAACACTCACAGGTATACCTTGTTATCTAATCGGTGTAAAATGGCAAAACAAACCCAAATGGTTTTTAAATTCTTTGCGTGAGTATATTATAATATGTAAAATTATAAAATAAAAATTGCACTTTAGAAAT